CTGTGGAAGCAGTTGTTTCTATTCCGCAAGAGAAGAAACGCCAAGGCTGCAGGCCAATTCCGTGGAATATTGGCTACCAAATATGGCCGAGTAAAGAATTTTGAAGAGATCTGCTTGCTTGGTCTTGACGCCAAGGATTTTCTCTTGGACCAGGCCCAGACCCCAGATCATTTCGAAGACGTCTTGGCCAGAAGGTAGGTAACTTTCGTTGCAACGTTTGCTGGCTCGTTCTGATCAACTCCGCATAGGTATTTCAGCAATGCCATTCTCGCCAGCATGCGCCGTGGGGCCGCCATCCAGATTTGGGACAGCCTTCGCAGTGATGAGGCGCGCGAAGCTTGGAGACCCAACCATATTCCGAAAGTTGTGCCCGGAAGGTTAGAGCAAGCACTTGCTGCTTTTGACATGTTTGTGATCCAGGGCGACGAGGGTGACATAGATCACGTAGGTCTTCTACGAGGCTACTATATTATACTTCTTTGACTAACCCCTATGGCAGGTTTCCAAACTTCTTGACAAACTCGCAGCCGAGTTTCGTGGCAGTCACCCCGAATTTGACGGGCTTTGCATTCGGGAAAGGGCATTAACTCTAAATCGTTGGCTGAGATCCAACAATCTCACCGGTATGGTCGACCCTGAAACCAACTATCGCAATCTACGGAACTGCCTCCTTGGCCATGCGCTGCGAACATCGGCCCACCAGTCGCTTCCAATGGTTTCAGCAGCAATTTTCTGTTGTGTCGGGGAGAGACTGGGATTGAATGCCCACTGTTGTGCGCTACCAGGCCATGTGCTTTCAATGGTCTTCGCAACGCCAGAATTCAGATTGGATGGCTCGAGAGTCACGGATCCATCAAGGCAACTTGAGAGGATGTACCTTGATCCATATGGGGGTGATGAGGAGTTCAGCAAGGAGACGCTACGACAGTTCATTGCCCAGGTCGGGTGGCATAGTCTAGATGTCGAAACAATGGCACCGGCAGCCGTTTCAACAATGATTGGACGTCTCGCACACAATATACGGCATACCAACCTCGTTTACACGTCTCAGGACGTGTCAATAGAGAGACTGGCTGGGCTCGGGGCTGGGACTGCTCTCCAGAACCTTGAACTATCCGTCTACGCCGCTGCCTGGGCAACAACTCTTCTGGATCCCGATGCTTTTGTTGACGTGACATCGCATTTCGCCTTGCGATTCAACTCGCTGCGCTTCGATGACGCCTGGATTGTTGAGAAGATTTATATTACTCGGCCCCAACCGCATGGCGATGTGTTTCTGGCTGCTCCCAACCCGGAATATATCCTTCGCCTCATTCGCAGGGCAGATGAGCAGCAGCCTGTGTTGCGTGACTCACAGATGAGCCTGGAGTACAAGATTGGCAATGTTGTCCGGCATGGCAGATACGGCTTTGTCGGCGTTGTGACTGACGGGGAAATGGCTCAAGGATCGGTCCTATATTACAGGCTATTGTGAGTTAACAGATGAGACTGGCGAAGAATTGCAAAATTTCTAATAGTACATCAGGACTCCTCCAAACATGCAAGGGACCTTTTCCTTGGTCAAGGCCTCAAGCCTTGAACTCGTGCGCGATCCTGAAGAGGCACAAGCAGCATTGTTCCCCGACACTGGGCTATTCTTTAAGCGATTCGATAGAGAAAGGTGCACTTTCATCCCTTCCAACAATGAGGTGGTCTATACGCCCGTGTAAACACTAGGCGTTGTAAGGTTTGATGGCTGATGGAGATTGATGTGAGGTTCTACTATGATTGGCGTAATTCACAAGAAGTTACTCCTTAGAATAATAATGAATTCTTACGTCTTGCGAACTCGCATGCCCTTTTTGCTGCCTTTTACAAAGGCATGGCTATGGAGGCTATGTGCCTCTAAGTGAATAGACTTGCTGCTTTGCCGAAGCCACATGCAAAACCATCTACTATGTTTTCCAGACCACAAACGCCCCCGAATTGCAAATTCGGTATCGATCCCCCACCGATTCCGCACTACTTTACTCTCGCCTCTCTCTTTTGCAATCATCCTAAGAATTGGCTGCCCAATCCGCGAGCACGCCGTGCTCCGCCAGCTTCTGCACCCAGGAATGGATTGCAGGAGTGTGGTCCTTCTTCCGCCCCTGCACACGGTCATCGTCCTCATTCACAGAACCGATCTCGGCATTGTACTCTCCCATGAGAGACTTCTGCTTTGTCACAAGATCATCGTAGAGATTGAAGAGCTCCCCCATATCTGTGGATGGCTTCTTAACCTTTCTCTCGAATGCCGGGTCCACGTGGGCCTGTTGTATATGCGATCCTGATATGCCGAAGCCGGCGAGACGCTCAATGTCGGTGCTCAGAAGAGGCTGGTCATTGCCGGCGATGAGATTTTGCCAGCCGTCAACGCTCTTGGTACGCTTATTCAGAAGCTCGAATGAGCGGAGCGTGCTCGCGAGCTCTCCCGACAAGATCCCCAATGGACTCTTGCAGAGTGCAAGGAGGTTGAAGGTGAGGGCGGTGTCCTCAAACTGGAGCATGCGCGCCTGGATCTCGGGCTGGACCAGTTCAGCCCAGTGGACGCCCTCCTCGAGAGGTCGGATGCAGACGGGCCTCGTCTTGAGACCATCTAGCTCCCAGACCGAGCCGTTAGCCGGTACGTAGGCGATGAAGTGGAATCCCGACTCCTCGTCAATCTTTTGCTTCTTGCTCTTCTTCGTCTTCTTTGCCGGCCCTCTGCGCTTCGTCTTCTTCTTGGACTCTGACGCCTCGATCTCGAGGACGAAGTCGGCGTTCAGGTGGTCCATTCTCCGGGTGAAGGAGTTGTGGACGGAGCGGATAAAGGGGTTTGAGCCTAGGGCGTGGCCGCGGAGCGGGGTGCTGAGTGTTTTTGTGGAGTCCTTGAAGGCCTGGAGGTCCTTGCCTAGATCGACTTCTGGGCTGTTCATGATGATGTTGGTCATGGCGACGGTTGCACAGGCGTTGTCTGTCGTCTGTGAAGCTCTGTGTGAGTATTTTCTATGCGGTCGAAGAGAGGAGGGGGGGGGGGGGGAGGGAAGAGAGGGGCAGATGAGAGAGAGTCATACCTGATTTGCAAACCAAACGTCGCGACTGTCGACGACTGCATCGTCCTCGTAGTTCTCAGAGAAGTATTGGTAGAGAAAGATGAGACCATAAACGGGTTGCGGAAGAGTCGCTACGTAATCTTCGTCAACCGCGAAGACCTCTTGGACCTTGACATCCTTGACGCCCATCTCTCGTAACATAGCATTGAAGAAGGCCTGGAAAAGGATTAGCATCAGTTTGAGGATCGAAACTGGGGTAGATAGTTGGAAACGCGGGTCAACGCACAGGTTCAGATTCCACCTCACACCAACCCTCCCACTCCTTGAGCTCATCCTCACCCAAGGGCGCCAGGGATTCACGGAGAAGCGTCTGATAGTCTTTCGACCCGCTAGAAGCGGCAGCAGATGTTGAGGCGGCAGCCGTCTCGGTAGCTTTGCGCTTAGGATTCCGCCTTGAGCCGGCGGCCATAGCAATTGCGACAGCTTCACCTTCATCGTCACCGTCAGCCTCGCAGGGTGATTCCTTCCTCTTCCGCAACCGGCCGGCTTCTGGCGAGCAATCGGGCTCGCCTGCTACCTCAAGAGCCACATTAGTTTGCTGTGGGCTGGATTTAATTGCGTAGATATCGCATTCGTGGTCTATAGGTGAAGGTACGTCAGATATTTGTTGTGCTTTAGTCATTGGAGGCACCATGACTGCTGCGCTTGCCTGGCGACTTCGCAAATGCCTTCGAGGCATCTTAGCAGGCGCAGACGCTACTGAGGCCATGCTGACAAATGCCTTGTGGTATGATGGCTTCGTTCGCTTGTTTGGTGATTTTGAATGAGAAATCAAAGTAAAGAGTGATTCTGCGAGAAGCTTGTAGAAGAAGTTGATACCAAGCAAGTGGTGCAGAATATAGGCAGTGGTGAGTGGGAGAGAAAGGGCGATAAGAAGGTGATTAAAATGAAGATGGTGTTCGGCTGCTAATCGATTAAGAAGGAAGAAAAAGGTAGGAGACCTTGTCTACTGATTAAGGGCAAATATTTCGTTGTTGGTTCTGTTAAATGAAGGTGCCTTTGACCTGAGGTTGCCTTTGAGGACCAAGGACAATGTGAAGAGGGTTTACGAATGGAACATTTGCCTTGAACTCGGAACCTGGATTCCATTGACCAGGCACTATTCGATGGTCTCATTGTGGAAGGAGCGACATGACAGGACGCAAAAAAAGAGATCATTCTTTGTTGTAGTAACGCAGGGTAAGATATCACCTAGTTGATGACAGAAGATGCGATGCAGACTTACCTCCATTACATGTGACGGCTTGAGAACTTGGGAGGATATGCATTTCTCAGAGAGCCTCCTATCTACTTGAGATTATACATTGGATGGATAAGTTGACCTGTTTCATTGAGCCAAGGTAACTGGGGCGTAGCTTCTGTGCTCACTTTGGGTTTATACGTCTGGTGATAATAGGCGGCGGCACCGATATTGTGTCAAGATAAGCTTCAGAACACGGCGGGGATCGTCCATCGACAACGGGCAGGCTGCAGCTTCTACCCAGCTACGTCAACAGAGGAGGAAGGCGGATCCGCTCGGCTTTCACACAGTGTAGATGCCTTGTCCGCCAGCTGCCACTAAGCTGGGACCCTGTCAGTATCCCAAGGAGGACCCTCTCAACGAACTCTAAGCCAATCAAAGCACACAAATACACAACAGGTGGGTGTTGTTGCCAGGCGCGTTTAGACGTGACGAACATTCACTGGAAATTTTGAAGCTTTTGGATTCCCGCCGCAGCTTTCCAAGTTCCATACTTCCACGACGTCAACAATAGCTTGCAACGCCGGGCAAGCCCATTTAATACCCGACGTCTATCCTTCGCATCGCTCGGAGCGGAAGATTCCACTCATCATCGGCAAAGTCAACACACTCCGATTCTTATGAGGCGACCTTGAAAACGGCATGCGATGAGCGCAACACCGAGACAGCGGACTGGTGGCTTTCCACAAACACCAGCCCGACGACAGGATCCCGACCCGAACTCCTCCGTTTCCTCCCAGAAGAGCAGTCATCGCACATCTTCGCTTCCTCAAGCCCCCGAGAGCGCGACTCGAAATGGCCCTGCGACCGAGCCCGTCATTCCTTTAACCATCCTCGATGCTCCGCAACAACGCTTCTATGCCTTTGCCATTTACGTCGGGCTGCTGGCATGGCGATTCTACGACTGGATCAAGCTTGTGGAGGATAATGATACATCGGCATGGCTATTTCTGAAATGGGTCTTTATCGACTTTGGCTTTCTTTTTGGCCTCCCGGAGATGAGGATACCATGGCTGGAGTTGTCGCAGCCTGTAGTCACGGCAATCTTCCTCATCCACGCCTTCTTCAACTTCATGTTGATGTTCAACATTCCGGTATGTGCAGGCACTTGTGTGCCACTTTTGAGGCCAGGCTAACCACGAATAGCTCCCCTTGCAACCATGGCTCATTGGCTTCCTCAAGGTCTTCTACGACCGAGAGCTGGCTGTCTCTGAGAACACTGTCAAGGTTTCAAGCATCCTGCATAATCATTCCTTGATCATGGGCAGGCAGATCATCAACATTTTGCCAGAAGGGTAAGAATCCAATAAGGCAAATTACTGCAAATTTCTGTTGCTGACATGGTCTACCCAGTTCTGCGGTACTCAACTTCGAGCAAACTCCCTTCTGCATCGGCGAAGGGCGTGAAACTATTCGACTACCCATACAGTTCAACTCTACGGTGCCTGCTGAGATGGAGCTCATCCGCATCGACCTTGATACCAATCTGGAAGAAACGATCAAGCTGTCCACTAGGGAGGTTCGCAAAATCGCAAAGCAGATCAAGGACCAAACGGCGGAATCAAACCCACTGGCTCACTCGATCGAGTACCCAGTCAAGAAGACTGGTGTGTACCGCCTGGGCAAGGTTCTGGATGAATACAAGCTTGAGGTCCAACGCACAACGAGGGACACCTATGTAGTGCCGTGCCCGAAGGCAGGTTTCCGGACGCCCGATAAAGAGGACCGGTGCATCAGGGACTTGTCCAACTTGCTTGTTGACGTCACCGGAACGCCGCCCCTGAAAATTGTCTACAGTCGGACAGGAAAAGACAACGATCGCAGCTTTCATTTCCAGAGCTTGCAGCCTGAAGATTATACCTCGCCTTTACTTGGTACCCCATCTTCTTCATTGACTCAAATTGGTGACGAAGATATCTCCTGGGTCAAGCCCCATACGGTGGCCGTGCGCATCAACGAGACGCTGGATAGCCCAGGGCAGTGGCAGTACGCCGTGGACGAGGTTACGGATGGCTTCGGCAACGTTCAGAAGTACGCTCCGTCTGTCGAAGATGCGGAAGTGCGTCCCCGGCCTAAGCATCTGGCACGCAACTTCTTCGTCAAGGAGCGGCCCAGAGCTCGCTTGCAGGATTGTGACCTACGCAGACCGGTCAAGGTTGCCAAGGGCCAGAAGGCAAGACTTCCAGTCAGTTTCTCGATAGCCGGGAAGAACCCGGATACTTCGCATACGTTGACTTGGGAGTTCTCACCCATCGACTCTTTGACCAACAGCGGAGACCACGGCGATCAGGTTTCCTTGGGTTCTTTTACCGCAGCCAACTCCCACGACAAGCCATATGTTTCGGAGCCTGGTCTCTACACACTCAAATCTGTTTCTAGTGGCTCGTGCGAAGGCGAAGTGCAGGAGCCGTCATCTTGCCTGTTGCTCAACCCACTCGAACCCCAGCTTGCTCTCCGTTCCGAAGAGATCCCCGACAAATGCGCAGGTAACTCAGTGGGACTCCGAGTTGACCTGGACTTCATCGGAACGCCACCATTCGTGGTTCGATACGACGTCGTCGACGAGCAGGGCAAGACCCGACACGAGCGGGTAGAAGCAAAGGGTCTCAGACAACAAGTCGAACTGAGACCCACTGCAGCTGGTCATCACAAGTACATCTTCAAGCAGATTGATGATGCTATCTATAAGGGTCAGCCTCTCAGCCCCGAAATGACGTTGGAAACGGACGTGAAGCCAGCCGCGTCTGCACACATTTCGCACCCGACCGGACTCAAGAGCGCTTGTCTCGAACAGGAAGTTGAAGTCGACATCCTCCTTCTCGGTGACGCCCCGTTTACGCTCGAATGGGAGCTGGTGCACGATGGAAAACGTAAATCTGAGCGTGTCACCGACATCGAGGGGTCATCGTACAAGATTAAGACTAAGCCTCTTGCGAAGGGCGGAGAGTACACACTCGCTCTCAACAGCGTCCAGGATAAGTCTGGCTGTCGCACGTTCCTGAAGGATGAGCTCAAGATCTCGGTTAGGCGCCAGCGGCCCCGCGCAGCATTTGGCTTGCTCGAGAACAAGCGCATCACCAAGGTTATCGAACACGCCGATGTCAAGCTGCCTTTGCGACTTCAGGGCGAAGGACCTTGGACTGTTTCTTACCGCAATGTTGATGGAAGTGATGAGATCTACGAAAAGACGTTGAGGAACGGCAACGATGTCCTTCCTGTCAGGTCCCGAGGCACGTACGAGATCGTCAACGTGAAAGACAACCAGTGTCCTGGTGTTGTGGACCCTCAGGCTTCCAAGTTCGAGGTCGACTGGTACCCTCGCCCAGAGATCACCGTGGTACCGTCTGACACAATCACGTTGGGTCAGGGTAAATACGTCAAACGTGATGTTTGTGAGGGGGATATCGACGCTTTTGAGGTCAACCTGAAGGGTAAGTTAATCCGCCATCTCAATTATCAAATCTCACTAAATCTTGCAAGGCTCGGCTCCATTCCATGTTGATTACAATATTCAGCACAAACCTCCCCAGGGCTATGCCTCGACCAACAAGAGGGATTTCGACACGTCTCTCAACAAAGCGTCCATTCCTATGGATACCTCCAAATCTGGAGAGTACACGTACCAGTTCTCCGCCCTCGCAGATAATCTCTACAACAGCGAGAAGAACTCTCGGTCACTCGTCATCGACCAAAGGGTCAACGCCAAGCCATCTGCTGCCTTCGTCAAGCCCGGTCAATCGTTCAAGTACTGCAAGACCGAGCAAGACAAGGAAGACACCATTCCTATCACCCTGAACGGTGTTGCTCCATTCTACATTGAGATCGAAATCAAGCATCACAGTGGCACCGTCCCCGAAACATATAGAATTCCTTCGATCCAAGGTAACACGTACGGCATTCACATTCCCAGGCAGCATTTACGTCTTGGAATTCAGCATGTCCGCATCCGCGAGGTTAGAGACGCTCGCGGATGCCAAAAGAAGTACGAGATCGGTGCGCCATCTGTGCAAGTTCATCTCCATGACGCTCCCGCTATCTACCCTCTGGAGAGCCGAGGAGACTACTGCGTCGGTGAACGCATTGCTTATACGCTTTCCGGCACGCCTCCTTTTGAGATTTGGTACGATTTCCAGGGCCAGCAACGCAAGGCTAAGTCTAGCACAACCAACTTCCGTCGTATCGCCGAGTCACCTGGCGAATTTACCATCACCTCTATCTCTGATAAGGCCTCGGAGTGCCGCGCCTCTGTCGACATTACCAAGACTATTCACCCTCTGCCCGCTGTCAAGATCAGCAGGGGCCGACAGACTCGGGTGGATATCCATGAAGGCAACGAAGTGGAGATCCTCTTTGAGTTCTGGGGCACTCCGCCGTACGAATTCACATACACTCGCAGCTCCAATGCCCGTAAGGGCCAGAAGAGCGTGGTCCTCGAGACACGCCATGACGTCTCTTACGAAAGCAGCAAGATCATCCGCGCGAGCCAAGAAGGTACATACGAGGTGGTCGCGATCAAGGACAAGTTCTGCGCCTTCTCTACCCAGCAGGTTGCCGACAGCGGCAAAGAGCAAAAGCTGCTCAAATACTAGAATGAATACAACGAAACTGGGATAAAGGGGGGTATTTTCGGAATGAATACACACTAGCTTGGACTTGTTGCGTGTGACGAGAAAAGGGGCATGTTTTGTGTATACGTCTTTTGTTGGTGTGCATAGGCATTTTATATCATGGCATGGCGTTACAGACAGGGAAAACCAAAGGTTGAATAGGGCTATAATCAGCGTGACCAAAGACAATTTCTTTTTGTAATCACTCAACTGAACCGCGAATCTGTGTGCGGACGTTGCGATGACATGGTAAAAAACACAACAAGAGAAACCGGACTTTTGATGCTCATGGACTTTTCCTAACCTCGCTATGATTCCCCAAATTACACCATCTACGTTTCGTAGATCCTATCTTTCATCCTCTATTCAATGAGCTCAATCTTCTTGATCAAGTCACCACCGATCCTAGCAATCTCCAGCAGCACAGCCGCTTTGTTCACCTCGACCACATCGCCCTCCTCGTCGTCGTCGCTGTCGCCCTCGACCCGGTGGAAGTTGTAGGGCAGACCGACACGGAACTTTTGCCGACTGCGCAGCTTGGGCTGCCAGATGGCGCCGATGACGGCGTCGCCGGACGCGCCGTGGAAGAAGACGAGGGTATCCTCGTACGCCGTCTCGAGCTCCGTCAGCAGGACCGTCGCCGGGTGTCGCGCGAGCGGCAGCGGGATCTTCCCCGTGCGCTCGTCGAGGTTCTTGAAGAGGGAGGTGCGGGTGCCCGCCTCGGAGGCGGCGTCGCGGGCGACGCGTTTCAGGCCCGAGGTGGAGAGGTGGAGGAGGACATCGTAGTCTGCCAGGGACGGCTGGAAGAGCTCGGCGACGTCGAGTGTGATGCCTTGCTCCTTGATCTTTTTGCTGGCGGCTTTCGCGAGGCGGGTCATGCGTGTTGCGAGGAGCTTGGAGGGCCCCTGGCGGGTGTAGGCCAGGCCTAGGTGGTCGTGCGGGGTGGCGACGAAGAGGACTGCGTGGGACATTGTCGGGTCGCGGGCGCGCCAAGCCTCGAGGTGGTGCTGGGCGACGGCGCGGTCGTCGGCGGTCATGTCGTCGGAGGAGTCGACGACGAGGGCCTCGTCGCGCCAGTCCCAGCGGGAGAGGAAGAGGATGGTGCGGAGGAAGCCGGACATTGTGCTGGAGGGGACCTTCCAGGGGTTCGGGTTGAGGAAGACGTGGAGGACGAGGAGCTCGATGAGCTCTTCCGAGATGTGGCTCGCGAGCTTGTGCACGTTGAACCAGTGCTTGACGAGGCGGATCGTGTTGGAGAGGGTGGTGAAGCGGGTGCAGTAGGTTGTGATTGTCTGCGTGTGGAGGGGGAGGTGCTTGTGGCGCCAGTTGAGGTTGAAGAGGGCCTCTTCGGCCTGGACTCTGCTCTGGGGGTCCAGCGTCTTGTTCCTGGCTTGGCGGTCTAGGAGGGCCTCCTCGAGCTCTGCGTAGATGCGCAGTCGGAAAGCGGCACCGTTGGGGTAGATGATGTCCAGGTAGGCAAGGTTGTCGATATCCCGTGCTGCGTTGTCGCGACCGAGGCTCGTTGAGATGTTGTCGTGGGCAGCGCGTAACCGACGGTCAATGTCGAGCAAGAACTCAATCTTGGTCTCCTGGATCGCGACAAGGTTCTCCGGCCACTTGCTGGATGCCTCAAAGTAGAGGTTTACGTCCATGGGCGGAGGGCCGGATTTCTGAGAGAGCGCAAAGGGCGGCGTGACCGACGCGGATCGCAGTTCGGGGACAACGGGGGCGATTTGCCTGACCGAGAGCGGCATCTCCTCCAGGCCGCGGATGTCCTGCTCGAGCGTGCTGAAGGCCTTTCTCGCTGCCTCGAAGGATTCCCTGTCAAAGGGCGAGATGTCCAGGGAAGGGGGGATATCGGCATCGTGGAAGCGCAAATCGCCAGCACCAAGGCTCACGTGGCGCTGGAGGACGTACCGGACGATCTCTTCGCAGATTTCTGCAGACGTCTGCCGCGTCCACTGCACGCACTCGAGGATGCTGCCGTCCTGGAAGCGACGGAGCTCGGCCTTGTCACCCCAGAACTTGCGGAACTTTGCCGCCTCCTTCTCGAGCTCGGCCGAAGGACCATACTCCATCAAGCGTCCCATGTTGGCAGGGTCGAAGATGACGCCAACCTGGATGTTGGACAGGTTCGTGGGCCGGGTGCTGGTGATTGACCACGGTGCTGGGTCTTGACTTGCGAAATGAATCAGCTGTGACCTTTCCTTCAACGCCTTCTTCAGAACGGTGTAAGCCTTGAAGCTTAGATCCCAGACGGCACCTCGTCGATCGGGGTTTGTGCTTTTTGAGTTGCTGTCCACGTTTTGGATCTCGAAAATGCTATCGAACAGGTGTAGCGGCAAGTCGGCTTTGGTGATGAAGGTCGGCTCGAACTGGTTTGCCAGAGTGTCGTTGAGTACTTCCATGGTGGTGCTGGCGTGGAAGTGGAGAAGGCTCGCTGACCAGGGGCTCATCTTGTATAAAATGTTGACTTCACGTTCGGGATCGAACATGACGGGGCCGTTCTCTCGAATGAGGTCAGCGCCCAGCTTGTATGTGCCAAAGACAAAGGGCTTCTTAGCAAACTCGGTAGACGCAAGGAACTGGACCGTGGCCTTGAATAGCTCAGTGCTGCTCAGAGCCGAAGAAAGCGCCGGCTGGCCGTTCCGTCCACCGGTCTGCAGCAGCAACGCCATCATGATTGCCCATTCAAAGTGACCGAATCCACCCTTGGCCAGCGAACTGCCCAAACCTCGTTGTTGGAGCCAGATTCTTCCGAGTATGCAAGCGTCTGCGAAGGCTGCGCAATCCGCCTTGGCTTTAGTGAGGACCCGCAGATACGTGACAAATGTGTCTTCAGCCTTAATGGTCGAGTTGTAGAAGGGCGTAGTCACAGTCGACTCCTTGGCGTTCTCCGGCTGCCCATTTCGGTTGCTGTTGTACGCGGGGTGCAACTTCTTCTTGGGGAAGACACCTTCCGGCGCGCAAGGAATGATCCGAATGACGAAATCCGCCTTTGAAGACCCCGATTCGGCCTTCTCGTCGCTTTCGTCGCTTTCTGACGATTCGGATGTTGAAGAGGGTCTGACGGAGAGGACGGGCAGAAGGGCGTTGCCATTGAGATTCTCGAACTCCAGGTCGGCCGATCCTGCCAACTCCTTGCGCAAGGCGGCTGCAATATTCGCAATATAGTAGGCTCTGCGGTAGAAGTAGCGCATGTTCTGGTGATCCTTTTCTTGGAATAGCGAAGCCGGCATCTGCACAATCATGTCCACACCCTTGTTGGCCTGGGCCTGGATCATCGTCTTCGAGACGTAGCTGCCCACGACATTGTAAGCGGCGGGCTTTTCGTATGACAGCTTGTACGGCGCATCGTCGGCGGGTTTCGGGTCCGGATAGGGAATCTTGATCTTGTTCGTCTTCTGGAACTTGCGCGTGGCTTCGGCGATCTACAACGAGGTTAACACAGCCTGTGTCTAGTGGGGGGAGCAGCATCATCGGGGATTACGAACAGGAATAGGACCATGAGGCTCAATTCCTTGGATCAGGTTTCTGATCCTATGCAACAGGGCGTCAGCGCCATTGAGAGCCTCGGCGTAGTCGACCTTGACCTCCTTCAACAGTTCGTCCGTCTGTAGGACGAATGGACTCGCCGTCGCGATGTTGGCAGAGATCTTGGAGTCGCCCTTGTGGGAGACCTTACGTCGCTTGGCGCTCTGTTCCATTTTAGCGACTTGAACGGTTCAGCCCGGTGTATATGATGTACGGGTGGGCTGTCCAATTCGTGACCGACAAGCGCAATGATACAAAATCACAGCAATACGGGTCGCAACCTCAGATCCATTCTACTGCTGCACCAAAGGCGCAGCGGTGCTGGGAAATTTTTTGAGCGTGGGGCAGCCGATAAGAGCTGGGAGAAAACTTATCCCTGGCCGATTGTCCGATAAGACATTGGACTTTGCGACGGCTCCACCTTAACTTTGCGGTCGCCAATCAGCGGCTAGGCATCTTCAGGCGTACGGATACGCCCCGCCTCAAATCGTCCAGTCCATAAGCTACCTTACCTGGCGCGCTCCTGGTTACCTAAGTTATCCAGCGGATACTGCACCCCGACCATGCAGCCATGGGGTTGGATAAATATTAAAAGACGTAGGACAGTCTCATCAATTGAGGTCACCATGTCAGTATGCGACCTGTGCAGCTTGGATATCCAATGGTGACCTGCTTCTTGGGGCTCAACGTGTTTTCTTTTGGAGCATTTGCATCGCAGCAATGGCCGAGGATACAGAAGAGAGGCTAGCGGAACACACCGGGGATTTCTCCACAACATCGGATGGCAACGAGCCGCTCGAGTGCCGGACTGCGTACCGAAACGTTCGGGGCTAATGATGACAGACGCAGGGGACCGCAGAGCTCTGAACCTCGCCAGCGACCCAGCCAAGCCGGCGCGCGCCTCGAAAGGTTGTGCATGCCGCCGGTATCGCAGTGACAATTTGCTGGTAGGCTGGGGGTTTTACCATGCGTTGATCCATTGTCGAGGGGACTGAGTGGTTGCAGAGAGCGCCTGTTCGGAACTGAGGTTGGAAATTCCTGACTTTTGTTCCGCTTCGGCAGAGTCCTCGGCAAACGGCGCCGCTTCCCGAACCGATCCCCGAGTTCACCCATAATAGTCCATGGCTGTATGATTGCTGTTCTGATGTTGAGCTTACCCTCTGGAGACGCTGTCACTATTTACTCTACGCAGGATAAAGAAGGTGTAGACAAAACAAAGCATAGGTACAACTGGGTATGCACTCCCTCCATCAGAGGCTCAGAATTGTCTTTGCGGGGTTCAGACGGGGTCAAGGGGAAAGCTGGAGGTGGACTTTTCCCAGTTTGGCGTCACCCCAGAGCCCAAGCCGCAAGAACATTTAGCCCCGCCACTTTCCGAGTCGCGGAACATGAGAGGGGGGAGTGCTTAGCTAACGCTGCCAAAAGGTGCCCGTCGACCCCAGAGTTGGAGCTTCTTTGTCTGCTGGAGGTTCTCAGACTCGCCAGCAGGCCCAAGCTTGAACCCTCGTCTTTCCTCTTGCCGAGCTCAATCCCGAAGGGATGGGGCGGAATCAGGTACCCCCCCAGACACGCTCTCCCAATCCATCCCACATACTGTGCTCTGCGGCAATTCACGGTCTTGGAGCTAGGTCCTGGGGGATAAACGTAGATGCAATAAATTGGCCGGGGCCCCTTCGGAATCCCTCGTGACGAAAGGCGTTTCTTCTCTCCTTCTCCCTCCCCAATTCCTCTCTCCAGTTTCATTCCCAACTCCTGTCAATAGCTTCTTTGTCGTTGTCACTCTTGCGTACGGTGACCTGCTTCAGTCCGTTGCTCAACCGTACTCTCCGGCCCTTGTAACCCTCCGCTGTAGTCACGTACTACCATCCACACACCCTCACACACCACGATGCCTTCAGCAGCTCTGTGTGCTCGCTCATTGCGAGCTTACGCTCGCCATGGCTCCAACGTATGTCCAATTGATCCGGCAGTGTCAAATGTCAGCCCGCGTAGCCCAAACTAACCCTTTGGTGACAATCAGCACACTGCCATTCTTGCCCGCGCCTTCTCAGCATCTGCGCGGAGGCCAGAGATCAACAAGGTCTACCCTTCAGCTACTGAGGCTCTCAAGGACATGAAGCCCAACTCCACACTTCTCTGCGGTGGCTTCGGTCTCTGCGGTGTTCCCGATACCCTGATTGACGAGGTCCTGAACAAGCCTGAGATCACTGGCATCACCGCCGTCTCTAACAACGCCGGCACCGATGCTTCCGGCCTCGGCAAGCTTCTGAAGACGAAGCAGATCAGCAAGATGATTGCCAGCTACATTGGCGAGAACAAGACCTTCGAGAAGATGTACCTCACCGGTGAGGTTGAGCTTGAGCTTACCCCCCAGGGCACACTCGCTGAGCGCTGCGCCGCCGGCGGTAAGGGTATTCCGGCCTTCTACACCCCGGCCGCCTTTGGCACCGTGGTGCAGACTGGCGAGCTGCCCCTCCGCAACAAGGCCGACGGCTCTCCCGACCAGTTCTCCTACCCCAAAGACGTCAAGGTCTTCAACGGCAAGTCATACCTCCTCGAGGAGAGTATCGCCGGTGACTACGCCTTCGTCAAGGCCTACAAGGCCGACAAGCTCGGAAACTGCCAGTTCCGCCTGGCCGCCAACAACTTTAACGGTGCCATGGGCCGCAACGCCAAGATGACTATTGTCGAGGCTGAGCACATTGTCGAGCCTGGTGAAATCTCCCCCGAGGCTGTCCACCTGCCTGGCATCTACGTCAAGCGCGTCATTCAGAGCACCACCCCGAAGAACATTGAGAAGTACACCTTCGCCAAGGACCCCAACGACGCCGATGCCAAGAAGGCCCTCGGCACCGGTGACACCGCCGCCAAGCGCGAGCTCATTGTTCGCCGTGCCGCCAAGGAGTTCAAGAACGGCATGTACGCCAACCTGGGTATCGGCATGCCCATGCTCGCACCCGGCTTCGTCGGCCCGGAGGTTGAGGTTCAGCTCCAGTCCGAGAACGGTATTCTTGGTCTCGGCCCCTACCCCACCAAGGGCAACGAGGACGCCGACCTGATCAACGCCGGCAAGGAGACCGTCACCCTCAAGCCCGGTGCCGCCGTCTTCGGCAGCGAGGAGAGCTTCGGCATGATCCGCAGCGGCCGCATCAACCTCACCATCCTCGGTGCCATGCAGGTCAGCGCCAACGGTGACCTCGCCAACTGGATGTTGCCCGGCAAGGTCAAGGGCTTCGGTGGTGCCATGGATCTCGTCAGCAACCCCAGCGCGACCAAGGTCGTTGTGACCATGGAGCACACCGACAAGAAGGGCAACGCCAAGATTGTCAAGCAGTGCGCTTTCCCCTTGACTGGCAGAGCCTGCGTGTCAAGAATCATTACGGAATTGGTAAGTCTCTTTCCACCTCCTTTCTACCCTAGCTCCTATGGGATGATGACATGATACTAACGTGCCATGCAGGGTGTCTTTGACGTCGACTTCGCCAACGGACTGACCCTCATCGAGATTGCGGACGGAGTTACGGTGGATGAGATCAAGAGCAAGACTGAGGCGCCCTTCACCGTCGCCGACGACCTGAAGCCCATGTTGTAAAAGGAGCATATTGTATGAGGGAGACTTCTTGGAGAATGAATGAATCTGTGGAGGAGGTATATACCCGTCACGATGGGTACGCCATTGTCATCATCTAGAGTACGGCGTCAAAGCTTAGGGATCAAAATGATAGCCATGATTTTTGCTTTTCCAACCTATTGGTACTACAGATGTCCAAACTACCCTCGATGCTGCCAAACGCGATGCACCTAAACGCCAGCTCATGAAAAAACGGGTAGGTAATAATCACATCATCTAATGGTGCAAAGCTGTTGGCACTACTCTCCCAATATCGAGTATGGCTTGAGTGACGAGTGTTCCACACTCAGTTCATCGAGACTGGGACCAACATTAGCCTCGGTCTCCGAGGACTTACCCGTCTCTCATCTCAGAACAGACTTCAAGAACCCATGAAAGACTGCAGAATGTCATCAAGCCTCCGCCTCTTCTTTCTGTTGGGGTTCAATCCCGTCTCGACCTTGCCCAGCTCTACCTTTGGCCTCAACGACTCCGTCGGCTTCCGCGCTGGCTCCTGCTTGGCCAACCCCGACGACCTCCTGAAGAACGTGTACCTGCACGTGGCGAAGAGTCCCCGGCGCACATACGAAACGGCTGGCGTGATGCCCGGCCTGCCGGACCCGCAATGGCCGAGCTGGAGGCATGCGAGCGGCTTCGCGGGCAGCACCAGCTGTTCCGACACCACCTTGAGTAACGTACCCGTCTTCTGACCCGCTCTCTTGAGGTCTGCGTCCCCCGTGAGCTGGCCGAGGAAGGAGTACAGCCAGAAGCCCCACGTCTCGAAGGGGAAACCCTTGCAGGTTTGCGCCTCGTAGCCCGGCACGTCGACGTACATGGATAGATTCCTCTTGGCCGCGTCACTGAGATGGTCGAGAAACGGAGGGGCGTCCTGGCCGTCTGGAGAAGATGGCTTGATGGTGATGGGCTGGTTGCTGCTCTGACAGAAATTCATCAATCCGTCGTCAATGTTGCGCGCCATGCCCTGGAGCTGTCTCGGCTTGCTGTCCTTGCCCTCCGCCGTATCAACGGCGCCGTCGAAGAGTAAGAGGTACCACAGCAGAGAATCGTGCGGGCCATGCAGCGGCTCGTCAACCTCCCAGCCATTCTCCCCCGCGGCGCCCCAGGCGTCTCCCCAGTCGCTCCTCGACGCGTTGACGTCGTACAGCGCCAACGCGGGGAACTTGGAGACATACTGGAGCGAGTGCGTCGTGACGGACTCGTCGCCCCAGAGACGGAGGACGCGGAGGAGCGGGAAGGGGTCGTCCATCTCGGACCAGCTCCTGACGAGGCGGTCGTCGACTTTGGGGAAGCTGGGGGCGTGTTGCTCGTCCATGACCGACGCCGACGACGCCGGCTCGATGATTTCGAGGATGGCGAGGTTTCTGAGCTTGGGCAGCGCCAGCAGCTCGTTCTCGCCAAAGGAGCAGGACCCCGTGATGGTCAGGTGCGTCACAAAGTCCACGTTGGGCGACTCGAGGGGTTTGAGGTAGTGGCGGAGACTCGCGCCGCTGGGCTGGCATATGTGTTGGCGATAGCGATATAGGCCCAGCGTCTTTTCGTCGTCCTCGACGAGGAGGAATTTGGAAAAGACCTTCCAGGCTTGGAAGCATACACCTCTATACATCAAAAAAACAAAACAATGAATATCACAATGTGCCATTTTTGGAGTAATCAAGAGGTTGACCAACCTATTCTCCAAGAGCCGCCATATCCTCCACAAGTACCGCCGCGGCAGGTCTTCACGGGCGAGATGGTGTTCTTCCACGTCGCCGATATTCTCCGCTATCGTGTGCACCGCCATGTCGGCGAGCGACCTCGCGCCCTTCATGCCTTGGCCGCCGCGACCTCTTCGTGGTTGCCGGCCGGTCCGCCGTGACCAGTCCCGGCCATTTTGGTACGCGTCGGGGGGCCGCTGTGCGACGACTTCTTTGAAGACTTGTCCGTTTTGGTCATACATGGGAGACGGTGCATGCAGAAAAACTGAGCAGAGATAGCTTAGGAGGCCGAAAAGCAGTTGAAAACTGTATCACCTTTGAGAGTTCGTCATGGTTATGGCGATGGGTGAGGTGAGATGACGGGTGAGCAAGGAACGGACTCAGTGAGAGACCGAAGCACCGTGACTATACTGTATAACATACCTCCGCACTGTATAGCCGAGATAACCTCACACCAGTGACAGCGCTTCTGCCGTAAGAACCAGGGCTCTGGGGCAGTGAACAGAGCGCATCATAGGCTGGAGCTTGACAGTCAGGTTTGTGATTGACGTCTGGAACGATGTTTAATGCGCCCCAGCACAGTCACGGCATCTCACTACACGCAAGGTAAATGCGGTGGGAAACAATGTATCGCTGCAAAAAATTTCTCCAATCACCAATACAGCCGAAGCTGCCACGGGTCAGAGGGTAAGTGTGCGAGTAAAGTGCGTCAGTCTCTCCTCCTGTTTCCCCTCCAGACACATTCATTGATAACGTGAAAGCCAGAGTGAATAAGGAGGATTAATATGTTTTATGATTAGGTAAAGAAGAAAAGAGAAAAAGAGGAAAGCGCAGCTTTTGCGCGCGATCTCAGCCTTGATATTGGTTTTCTGAGAGTGGGGCCAGTGGAGAGGGTGGTTGGTTGGTTCGCGCTTAGGTTTTGCCGGTGGCCGGGATTCACTTTCAGTTGGAGATGCGGCTCGATACCTTGGTGGGCCACTTGCAAGTCTCTTTGGCATTTCATTGCGATGAACTCGTTTCACAACTGGGTTGGTCTTCGGATTGAAGACAAATATGACTTACATCCGCGATTCTACCACACTGAGAGCTCTTAATCTTGTAGCATGGACTGGATTGAACCAACGGAGATTTATCCCAAGCAAAGTGAGAGGCTACTCCTACACTTTGAGGACTAGTCGCAGTTGATTGATGAACTACCTACCACACAGTCAAATCTCACTGAGGAACTCACTTATTCGTTGGTACATTGTATCAAAAACTAATTTCTCCCTGGAAAAAAGCCAATCACTGGTATTCTCTTGATTACCTTCAGTTTTGGTATATTACCTTAGGAGGAGTCTATAAAGAACCGAGTGGAGTCAATCCACGTACCGAATGAGAGCCGCCAGATTGAAATCATCCTTCGATTGGCCTCACCCTTTTCCCGTCTCTATCGGGGTCATTATATCAGGGGCCGCGGCCTTGTACCTGAGGGAGGGTAAGATGTTGCACCTGTAACTAAAGTGAGGTGATTGCCGAAAACATACTACGCGTGGCTTAGATGACAGACATTCTGCACATGTGCATCTCCTGACACAGGCTGTCTACATGGAAGCCTGCCCGCTTTAGCGCGGGGCACAAAGTCGTGGCGGTGAAAAAGAGGCCAAAGAGTGGCCCCCTCGGGTAGAAATGGGCTGCTGCCGCCGGCCAATGAAGGTCAAGGTGTTTGTGTTTGCGGGACTCTGCAGGTTCAGGGACTGAAATGGACTGCAGTATCGTGCTTTGCGCGCCGTAACCCAACGATGCTGTTATGGCCCATTTTGGTAACTTGGCAGGGCGAAATACCGTAATGATGATTGCCCCTCTGATCTGCCACACCCTATTAAGTCTGTGACTCTTCGAGCTATGCCTTAGTGTCTACCCAATGGGATCATAACTGAAGTCCGATTCACCGTGTTGACCCTGCTTTATCTCCAGTGAATCCCTCTTCCTCTGCTTCTAAGGAAATCTCCGACACCATAACCTTTCTCTTTAAAAACCACCACGCTCAAGTGCAGCCGCCGCCCACCAAAGCAGGACAGCACACTTTTACCCCGCCATCCTACCCTTTGCGCCAACTATCTTTGCTAAACATCCCACTTCGACCCCGCAATCTCACTTTGTCTACGCAGACAATCAGAAGCAAACCAGCAGAAAAAAACAGAACCTCATCACAGTCAAAATGGCAGGCGGACAACCAGGAGGCAACTCTCGCGGCCGTGGCGGCAAGTTCAGAAAGTTCACCCGTGGAGGTTCGTCAAAAATTCGCCTCAGTGATACCCATCCCGTTGAAGCGCAGGCTGACATTCTACTGATTGGAAAGGTGGCAAGCACTTCTCCCGTGATCTCAGACCCCTCGACGCCGATGGCAACGAAATCAACATGTGGGCCGCCGGCTCCAAGAAGAAGGACGAGGAGAGCTCCGAAGAAGACTCTGAAGAGGATTCTGAGGAGGAGTCCGACTCTGACGAGGGCGGCGCCGCCCAGGCCGAGTTGTCTCGTGCCGATAGAAAGGCTGCCGCAAAGGCTCGCAAGGATGCCGCCATAGCCAAGAAGAAGGCCCAGGCCGTCGAGGTCGGCGACTTGCCCCCCAGCGATTCCGAAGAGGAGAGCAGCGATGACGACATGCCCGCCAACCCCAACCACTCCAAGGCCTCTCGCAACCAGACCAAGGCGCCTGCCCCCAGCGCCGACGTTGACGAGGCCGCCGAGGGCGTCAAGAAGCTGACCGTGGCCAACAACCGCAAGGAGCGCGAGAGCATGGAGGCCGCGCAGGCCAAGGAGAGATACCGCAAGCTGCACGAGGCCGGCAAGACGGACGAGGCCAAGGCCGATCTGGCGCGGTTGAGACTCATTCGTGAGCAGAGAGCGGCTGATGCTGCTCGGAGAGATGTAAGAAGTTCAGCTCAAATTTCGTTTTACCTCCTAGACATTAAAACTAATCATCTAATTTTCTGCAGGCCGAGAGAGAAGAGCGCGAGGCCCAAGAGGCTGCGAAGAAGAAGGAGATTGAGGCAAAGGAGGCCAAGAAGCGTGAGGCCGCCCTCGGCCCTTCAGCGAAGAAGGGCAAGAAGTCCAGCAAATAAGCCGGTCCTGGCCAAGTCGGGCATTCAGTGCTCTATGGCAATCTGGACACGACCTCAAGTTATATACCATCGTTCTTCCTGGTCCATATTCGATCCCAGCATCGCATGCCCCGGACACCATGTGGAAGCCACAAATGTGGACAAAAGATTTTGTGTGCCAAAGCCCAATTGCTGCCATAGGCTGTTCTGCCAGACTCCGTGAAAATGCTCTATTTTACATGAAGCCAATGTACAATACCTCGCGCAGTGCAGATTCATGATTTGTCTCACATGCCACTCAACCCATCCGATCCAACGGCGTCATGCCACACCTGATCAAAATCCACGCCCTCTTTTTGGAACAGATCCCGGATCTGCTTCGCCACTACAACTTGCTTCTCGGGGCCGAACCCACCTGGCTGCGAGGACTCGAACTGGACGATCTCGATCCACCGGAAGAAGAGGTTCTCCTTGCCAATTGCGTTGAGAGCATCCCTGAACTGGAACACCTGTCTCCGTCTGTCGTCTTCCTTTGCCGTCACGCCCTCTTCCTCAACTGACATCCAGCCGTAATCTTCATGATGCACCAGTACCAGGCGTCTGAAGGCATCTAGTGCGACGTCGTTGCGATCAACCATGGTGTGAGCGTCAATCATAGCCTGCCAGTCGAGATCCCACTGTCCAGTCATGGTGAGGTAGCCAGTCTTCTCCTGAAGGAGAAGAGGGGAGCAAGCTTGCCGGATGACCTGCTGCAGCGCCTCGTTGCGCTCCCTGTCCTTGAAGATGTCGCCCAGCTGCTGGTCCCACTCCCGGCTGCGCCGGACGTAGATTTCCTTTTCACGAAAACCGACCTTCCACCGCCAGCTGACCGGGTTGCTGTACGACGTGCCAAAGACGAACTCGACGGGCCACGGCCAGACAAAGATGAAGAGCATGAGATCCAGGGTTAGCGAGCCGCCGCGCTTGGCGACCTCCCAGAGGAGCTGTCCCCAGGTCGAGTCGGCGGTGGGGAAGGTCGTCTCGTTGGGGTAGCCCATGGCGGACTGGACGAATTTGAAGTAGTAGGGCAGGATCCAGTACATGCGCAGGACGAAGAGCGCGGCGACGGCCAGGTTCATGCCGACCGGCACGAGGAAGATTTTCTTCTTGAACTCCACGGGCTTGGAGTCGATGTGGGTGATGTAGACGTGCTTTTGGTCAAGCGTCTCGATGAAGGGTTGGAGGACCTCTGCTGGCTTCTTGAAGGGCTTCGGCGGCGCGCCCACTGCCGCTTTCTTGGGCGCCTTGGATTTGACGGCCTTCACTTTTGACGCCATCGTGACCGTTTCCGCGGACACTTACTGTGAACCAGTTGTGCTTGTGAAATGTGAGTGAGAATAAGTGAGCTCGACCCAGGGCTCTTTAGCTACAAGCTGGCCGAATTTGCTTTACAAATGGGGGCAAGGGGGTCGCATGCCACCAGGTACCTGCCCCTGACGTACCGGGTGGTGGTGGGTCCAAGAACTGTCCAATTGCCTCCTGGCAGCGATTGGCTGCACATGCTGACCTCTCCAATTGCCCTGGGGGAGCTCGAGAAATTTCTGGGGCATTTCGAAGGAGCTCGAGCTTGACCTTAACTTTCTCCAGGCATCCCTTCGCAGCCTCTCATGTTGCGCCCAAATACAAATCATGCTTAGATGTAGGATATGGAACGTAAGTAGAACTATTCCCGAGTGATCGAGGTCTTTGCACATAATCTAATAGCTTCTTTAGGAGCGAAGCAGTGCTTACGTCTGCGCCTTCTGCCGCCACCCCGCCCTGCAGCGGCAGCGTGATCTCGGTCGACCAAACTACTCCGATTCGACGAAGCATATATCGACCGGCAGCAGAGGATTCGCGTCATGGGGAGGTGGCAAGGGCTCTATCGGCTCGGGCATTCCTAGGAAGTCACCCGGTCCGGCCAACGGCTCCGGATGGGGAGCGTCGGCATTTGGTGCAGGCACGCCGTCAAAAGCACCGAGCCCCGATGGCCCAGCAGTAGCGGCCCCCGTAGATCGAAGCAACGACGTCGATGATGGGCTTTTACCACACGAGCGCGCCGCGCGCCAAAAGCTAGCCACCCACAAAGCCGCACAGGAGAAGGCCGTGCAGGACAAAGCTGATGCGACGAGAAAGGCCCAGGATGCTTTAGGGCAGCCCGACCCGAGACAACGAGGGCCTAAGGGAGGTCTCGGTAGCGGTCTTGGAAGTGGAGGCGTTCGAAGTGGCGCGCAAAGAGGCTTGGGAAGAGGCCTTGAGAGCGTCCCTACAAGTGCAGGGGGAAGAGAGGAAGAAAAGAAGCCGAGGCAGTTTTTCAGTGGCTTAGGAGATGGCCGTAAAGGAGGCCTTGGAGGTGGCCTTGGAGGAAGCTCTAAAGGTGGCTTGGGAGACGCCAACACAAAACCGCGAACTCAAGGCGGTCTTGACGAAAGGCCTTCACGTTCAGCACCAAGATCCGACTGGAGACATCGTCATGATTCAGATCAAGCCCCGCCAAGCACACCTGTACCGCATCACCGACGCGCTGAAAGAGATGGTCTCGGTGGTCTGTCGTCCCAGAGGGACTCGCGTCAGCGGAATGGTCTCGGCAAGTCAGACGCACTGGGCTCGGGCAGCTGGAGCCAACTCTCAAAGAGGACTCAAGACTCTAGCATTGATTCCGAGGGACTTTCGAGAGAGAACTTTTTCACCAAATTTCAAGAACGGGTGGCCGAAAGCCCTATCCGGAACGACAGAAACTCACGATCATCACGCTCAGAACTTGGTGGCTTGAGCGAAGGCATATCGGGGGACTATGCACAAGCCGCACCGAACACGTCTCAAAAGCCAGAGTCCAAGACAAGAGAGTTCGATGAGTCCTACGAGATCAACCGTGACTCTCGACGACGCGATAAGACTAGCAACCGTCGCGGGGATAGTCACGCATCCTCTCGGGGATCGCACAAGTCAAAAGGGCAGTCACGGTGGGAGGACGAAAATGATGAATGGGAAGATGGTGGTATAAGTCCAGCCGAACGCCGCCGTCAGAAGGCTGAGGCAAAAGCACAAAGAGCTGCGGAAGCTGCAGCAGCTGCAGCAGTCCCGAGTATCTTCCTGCCTGAGTTCATCAGCATATTAAATTTGGGCTCAGCGCTGAAGATGAAGAGTCGCGAGTTTCTGAAGGCTCTGGCAGAAATGGGCTTCGAGGACATTACCGAGGACAGCATCATGACGGGAGAAACCGCGGCTCTAGTCGCTCAGGAGTTCGGGTTTGAACCAAAAGTTGATACCGGCGCTGCGAGGGATCTCAAATCTCGGCCTCCTCCGGAAGATGTCTCGGTATTGCCGCAACGGCCCCCTGTTGTGACCATCATGGGCCATGTCGATCACGGAAAGACTACGCTCCTCGATTACCTCAGGCAATCTTCTATTGCGGCGCAAGAACACGGCGGTATCACTCAGCACATCGGTGCCTTCATGGTAAAGATGTCTGAAGGAAAGCTCATCACCTTCCTCGACACACCTGGTCACGCGGCCTTCTTGACCATGCGCCAACGTGGTGCCAACGTCACGGATATTGTGGTCCTGGTTGTGGCAGCTGACGACAGTGTCAAACCCCAGACTCTGGAGGCTCTGAAGCATGCCAGATCCGCAAAGGTGCCAATGATCGTGGCCATCAATAAGTGTGATAAGGAAGATGCGCGCCCGGATCAGGTCAAGGCAGACCTCGCTCGCCATGGTGTCGAGATCGAAGACTTTGGTGGTGACGTACAAGTTGTTTGTGTGAGCGGAAAGACTGGTCAAGGCATGGCTGAGTTGGAGGAGAACATTGTCACCTTGGCTGAAATTCAAGACATGCGAGCCGAAGCCGATGGTATGGCTGAAGCTTGGGTGCTTGAAGCCAGTATAAAGCCATATGGCAAGTCTGCCAACGTGCTCGTCAAGCGTGGCACTCTACGCCTCGGCGACTTCATTGTCGCAGGCACTGCCTGGGCTAGGGTTCGAGTTTTGCGAAATGAGGCCGGACAGGAGTTGGACGAGGCGCCACCTGGAACCCCTGTCGAGGTTCTGGGCTGGAGAGACGAGCTACCTGCTGCTGGTGACGAGATTCTTCAGGCACCCGACGAAGACCGAGCGAGGGTGGCTGTCGACTACCGCGAGGAGATGCGGGAGAGAGAGGCATCTTCGAAGCAGTTGGCTGAGCAGGAGCTTCGCGAACGTGAGGCCAAGATTGCTGCTGAGATTGCGGCAGAGGTTGAGGCAGCAGATGGAGATGCCGTCGAACCGGCTTCAACCACGAAAATTATCAATTTCATGGTTAGAGGTGACGTCGTGGGCTCCGTCGAAGCTGTATGCGCGACTATTAACGAGATTGGCAACAATGAAGTGAGGCCTCGTATCCTCCGGTTTGCGGCTGGCCAGGTTTCCGAGTCAGATGTTGAGCATGCCGAGGCATCGAACAGTGTCATTGCCAACTTCAACAGTACCGTCCCCGGCCATATCAAGGCCATGGCGGAGCAAAAGGGCGTCAGAATTATAGACCACAGCGTCATCTATCACTTGGCAGACGATGTCAAGCAAGTCATGTCAGAGTCCTTGCCGGATAAGGTGTCGTCCAAGGTTGTCGGCGAGGCGGATATCCTTCAAATTTTCCCCATCAACATCAAGGGACGCAAGTATAAGAACATTGCCGGATGCAAGGTCAGAAACGGTTCGGTCACTCGATCAACCATGGCGCGCGTTCTGCGCGGAGGCGAAAAGATCTTTGAAGGTAAGCTATCCCCCTTTCATCACCGTTGGTGTGAGTAGCGGCCTAATCTGACAACAAATGTAGGCAAGATTGATACTCTCAAGCACGGCAAGAAAGATGTAAACGAAATCAGAAAGGGCTCCGAGTGCGGTATTGCCTTTGACGGATTTACAGACTTCCATGTTGGCGATCAAATCCAGATGTACGAAGAGGTGAGGGAGAAGAGGTCTTTGTAAGATAATGGGGACAGCTGTAAGACATTTGTACGAGATGACAAGACGAGGCCATGGGTATAGAGTTAAGCAACAGTGGTGCTTGAGAGTTTCTTGACATCAAAGCTGTGCTCGGGAGGAGGACGAACGTATTCGGAGACGCAACTCATACAACGCCATACTGTAAAACAACTTGTGTAACCAGCCTATCATGGCTGCTATAGAATATTTGGGGAGGCATTTGGCCACCTCAAACTTCGTCATGTATTATTCATTTATTTTTACCACCGTTTCGGGGCAGAAACCGTATTCGACGAGAACGTCCTACTCGTAGTCGTCACTTGCGACCGCTCCTTCTCGAGCTTAGCCAACCCAATCTTGTCCGTGACAGGTGTGGCATTGATGATGTTGTCAAACTCATCATCGTCCTCTCCATTGTCAGAGTCGGGCTCAACATCCGAGTCCGGCTTCAAGTTTTGTGGCCGTGCTATCGACTCGGGCTTCTTCTTCTCTGCTGCCGACGGGTTAGAGAACGTCTTTGACGCAAGAACCTTGCGCCGTATCTCCTCCATTGCCGCGTCGTCATCGCTGTCGTCTGATATCGCGTAGGGGTCTTTGTCGTCCTCTTCCTCTTCATGGTCTTTTGCGGGCTTCTTGCCCAGGTATATGCCGTCAACGCTGTCGCCTTCGCCAGACTCGTCTCCGCTCTCGTCATCTTCGTCGTCATCATCAGCTTCCTCCTCGTCAGAGTCTACCATGGCTCTCCTGTTTGTGTTTCCTTCCTTCCACATGTCGTCCGCGTCAGCATCCTCTCTGCTGTCCGCATACTCCTTGTCAAGCCTGTCCAGCCATTCCTCCTGAACCTTCTTCACCCCCTTTTCGTCTTCGCTCGCGGCGTACTTCTTCAACAGACTCCCGTTGATCTCCAAGAATGCCTCGCCATAGGAGAAGGGCGCAAGAACCTGCTCCGACCACTCGGGGTGCCCGCAAATGTAAAACGCCGCCGCGAGCGCCTCGACACAGTTCAGCTTCCACGGCTTGCCGTAGTTGACGGTGTTCGCAGCCACCAAGTACGGCAGCAACCGCTCGCACTTGCCTCCCACTTTATTCCACTGGACGTCCTTCATGCGCGCCCAACTGCACTCGACCACGGCGGCGCCGTACTGGTCCATGAGGTCGCGGTCGGCCGGGGAGACGGTGTGTTTGCCATTGGGCGTGATGATGACGCCGTTATGCCTCTGACCGACGTGGAGATCGCGCATCATGCCCATTCGGATCAGCTTCTTTCCGGAGCACCGCTTGGGGTCGCAGTGGCCAAGATCCCAGCATGCTGCCTTGAAGGATGGGCGGGTGGAGGGGCCGTCCGCATCGTCGCCATCGCGGGGTTGGCGTTGTCGCGGCGGTCCCGAGTGGAGCTTACGACCGCGGGAGCTGAAGTTGTCTTTCTTATGGCGGACCATCTTGGAGAGGTGTGTTACTGTGGGATCGCAGGGTGACTGAACGAAGGCCAAAGGGTTCGGTATCTCCTTGGGCGAACAAAAGTTTGGCGGGGTATTTGGAGGGGCAAATCTCGAAAATGACCAGAAAAAACATTACAGTGCATAACAAGGTCCGAATATGCCAGTAAGCGTGATATCTCCGAATAAGGTACAGAAGTATGGCAAAGCCGCCCGTAGGTCAAGCACAGGCCACCTTTTGGTGGCTCCTCTTCCCGCGCCGCCTGTCACTCAGCAGCCCCTCGTCACTCGGCCACAGATGCCATCGGTACCTATCACAGGGTTCATGAGGGATGCCTGCGCCGACCTAATCCAATCTGTCCAATTCGCAGGCGCTCGCTCGGCCAGCTGTTAATTCTTCACGGCCAACCCAACCCATCCATCGGCTTCGGATGCGCTTCTCACCCTGAGAAATTTGGACGAACGACGAGATCCCTAACCCGCCAAGATAGCTCCCTTACCTCCCCGCCCGAGGCCGCCCACGAACGCAACAGCCGCAACGACGACGATGGAGGCCGCATCAGCCAGAGCTGCGGCCCGAGACCGCTGGGGCGAAATGGGCGCTCCCACGCCGTCTCAGCTCCAGCGCTTCATTCAGGCCGCCTGCAGTCCCGAGAATTACGAGCCGAACCTCGCTCTGAACCTCGAGATTTCCGATCTGATCAATTCCAAGAAGGGTTCCGCCCCACGCGAGGCCGCTGTCGCCATCGTCAGCTACATCAACCATCGCAACCCCAACGTCGCCCTCCTCGCGATCAATCTGCTCGACATCTGCGTCAAGAACTGCGGCTACCCCTTCCACCTGCAGATCAGCACAAAGGAGTTTCTCAATGAGCTCGTCAGAAGGTTCCCCGAGCGACCCCCGATACGGGCGACGAGGGTCCAGATGAAGATCCTCGAGGCGATTGAGGAGTGGAGAAGCACGATATGCGAAACGAGCAGGTACAAGGAGGACTTGGGCTTCATTCGGGATATGCATCGTCTTCTGAGCTACAAGGGGTACACGTTCCCCGAGGTCAGGCGGGATGACGCCGCCGTGCTCAACCCTAGCGATGTAAGGCGCTCTTCATTATCGTTGGCAGCGATTTGGAGCTATACTGACGTGCGTAGAACTTGAAATCTGCCGAGGAAATGGAAGAAGAGGAACGCGAGGCGCAATCTGCTAAGCTTCAGGAGCTCATTCGACGAGGTACACCCGAGGATCTCCAGGAGGCAAACCGCCTGATGAAGATTATGGCCGGCTACGATACTCGATCCAAGACCGACTACCGCGCCAAGGCCGCTCAGGAGGTTGCCAAGATCCAAGCCAAGGCTAGGTTGCTCGAAGAGAGACTCGAAGCTTTCCAACAGGGCGACACGATGCAGGATGGAGATGTGTTTTCTGAGCTTGCTGCCGCTCTGTCTAGCGCGCAACCCAAGATCCAGAAAATGTGTGAAGAGGAGTCGGATGACCACGAGGCCGTCGCGAAGTTGCTGGAGATCAATGACAGCATACATCGGACAGTGGAGCGATACAGGTTCATGAAGAAGGGGGATCTTGAAGCAGCTAAGAAGGTGGCCAGTGGCGCGCCGCTGCCGTCGACTTCAGGTCCTTCCAAGAGCGCAGCGCAAGAGCTTTCTTTGATCGACTTTGATGGCGAACCAGAGACAACGAATGGCTCATCGTCAAGTCAGCCGGCCTCACAGTCAGCGGGCATTGAAAACGATCTTCTCGGCCTTTCCATGGACGATTCAGCAAGCTACGGCCAAGGAGGTGCTTTGACTCTGGGATTCGGAGCAAACTCGAGTATGTTCAAACAGAGTCTTTGTTGTTGGCACATCCACATACTGACCAAAATTAGACATCCCAGGGCCGGCGCTACTCTCTTCCGTGACAGAAAACAACAGCGCAAAGGGACCTATGAGCAACACTGCAACACCCCAGCCACCATCCTTCTCGCAGTTCGCTTCTTTCACCTCTCCTTCAGCATCCCAGTCCGGCACACCCCAGCCGTCTGGTATGTCTGCCTTTAAGCCGCCCCAGCAGCAGGCCACGACCTCAAACGACCCCTTTGCCGCCCTTGGATCCCCCATCTTCTCCTCCAAGCCTGCTACCCCAGCTCCCGCCCCCGCCATCGCGCCCGCGCCAGCAGCGCCAGCCGCAAACGACGACGACGAATGGGCCTTTTCGTCAGCCCTCCCTCCTGAAGCGCCTAGTCAGCCTAAGGAGCACAAGGCGACTGTTAGCGATTCTACTGTCAAGATTGAGATGATTGCAGGGAGGACGGGGACGGGCAATGCGATCAACCTTAGTTTCGCCTTCTCGAACAACTCTGCGCAGCCCATCTCAGAGCTTCACTATCAGCTCGCCGCCACAAAGGTCAGTCTTGCGCGTGCCTTTTCCAGATAGGTCATTTTGCTAACATTAACCAGGGTTACGAACTTGGCCTCCGGCCCCAGACTGGGCGAGAGTTGGCTCCCAAGCAGAGCAGAGGTGTGACCCAGTTCGTAGAAGTATGGCATGCTGGGGACAAGAACCGCAAGGTGCAATCTATCAAGTTGCGATGGAGGATTTCTTACAAGGTTGGAGCGGAAGCGAAGAACGAGATGGGAGAGATTACCGAGTTCAGCCTTGCATGATGATCCGAAGAGTACGAGGAAGAGAGTAGGTAGAAAAAGGGGCGTTTTGAAGTGTTGGAAGATGAGCCGGCGCAACTAGCGCAACACAAAAGAGGTATAGAATCAGGGTATCTAACAATCTGATGAACCATCAACCAGTAAATATGTCTAGTGCCTTAGCCTCTCATCATGATGTAGCACACCAGGTCACTCCCTCGCTTCTCTCGTGTCCTCACGTGCTCCAAGTCCGGATGAAGTCACGGCGGTCCAATGGCTGAGAAGGAGGCAGGCAGTCCCCACCAAAGCACCTGCCCTCCTTCTCATCACAGGAACCGAACCATACAACCAGAACTGAAGAGACCGCCCTGCCCTGCCCTACCCCTTATGTATAACGTCCCGCGATTCTGTTCTCGTTGACAGTTGGGCGAGTGGTTCCAAAGTAGCGGCGTGAGAGCGCGGCAGTGAAACCGAATTTACAGACCCTCTTGTTCGCTACTCGGTGGAGGCAGCCCTGTGCGACCTTTGAGGCCTCAAATGGCCGGGTTTAGCACGCGAAGGGGCTAGTCCCGAATCGTTTTGTGGTTTTGACTGTCGGTCTAAAGTGATTTCTATTTGTTTTGGAGGGATTTGAAAATATTGTGTTGTTGGTGGCTTGGCTGCTGTTGAGGCAGGTAGGCGTGCTTCCTGCGATGTGAGAGCGGAAGCTGTGGTGTTTTGTTGTTCTTGTCCTGGTGTTTTTTTGTGATTCTGCGGATGCAAGGACGACGGTGGTGGTCGAGGATGGCCGGGCGGGATGCAGACGGGATCGGGGTGGGGCCGGGCTGGACGGGCACTACGGCGGGTGTGGGGGGCGCCAGGATTACTCTTTAGCCGCTAAAATGCACGTCCGTTGCGGGATGACCTCAGAGCTCACGATGGAATTCCTGGCTTTTTCATGGCCGCCTAAAGCAACATTGTCGAGATTGCAATTCCAGAGAAGGCATTCGTAATTCCTCACGGCCAATTGCTCCAGCTCGAAGCGTCGAACTTCGCACAGAGTGTCGTTGTGCAGCGAAAACAGGAGCCGAGTTCTGGCGGAAAACGCAACTGCCTAACGATCGTCGGCTCCAATCCTCGCCCCAAGTGCAAGATAAATATCAACACGAAAGATGGGCTCCGACGAAGAGCACCGTGGCCAGCGGTCGCGACGTAGCCGCCACGACGACCAAGACGACGACGAACGGCCCCGCCGAGAACGAGACACCACAGATCGCGATAGCCACCGCCGCAGACGCAGCAAAGATCGCAGCGACACCCATCGCGACCGCGACCGCGAACATGATCGCTGCTCGGACAGACCACCACGCAAAGAACGACGAAGATCACGATCACGCGACAGGCGCGAGACGTCCCGCCGTTCGCGCTCACCAGACCCTTCCGCGCGGAAACGCTCCCGCTCACGAGACCGCGATCGCGGCGATCGCGACAGACACAGGCGGAGGCGATCCCCTCGTGACGACGACCGCAGCAGCAGAGACAAAGACTCCCGTCGCCGCCGACACCGCGACCGCAGCCCAACCTCCGACTCGGGAGACGACAACTCCAAACCTTCAGAGCGCAAACGCCTCACGGCACCCACAAGCCCCATCCGCCGCTCGGGACCGCTCCCGGACCACGACGCCTCCTTCGCCGTCTCCAAAGGCGAAGAACCCGAAAAACCAAAAGAAAAACCCAACCTCCGCACAACAGGTCTCCTCGCAGCGGCCTCCAACTCGGTTCAACAAGCCGACGGCACCTCCATCGCGCTGAAATACCACGAACCCGCCGAGGCGCGCAAGCCGCCCGCCCGCGACCAGTGGAAGCTCTTCGTCTTCAAGGGGGACGACGTGGTCGACACGGTGGACCTGAACCTGCGGAGCTGCTGGCTGATGGGGCGGGAGGCGGCCGTGGTGGACTTCGCGGCGGAGCACCCGAGCATCAGCAAGCAGCACGCCGTGATCCAGTTCCGGCACGTGGAGAAGCGGAACGAGTTTGGTGACCGGATCGGCAAGGTGAAGCCGTACCTGATCGATCTCGAGAGCGCCAACGGGACGGTGCTGAACGGGGACAAGGTTGCCGAGAGTCGGTATTATGAGCTGAGGGATAAGGATATGATTAAGCTGGGGCATAGTACGCGGGAGTACGTGCTCATGCTGGCGCCGAAGGACTAGAGACCAGAAAGCGGAGATTTGCTGTGGCCGTGGAACGGCCTGGGATGATTTCTGGACCGCAGGGTCCAGACGCTGTAGAAGTATTCTTGTCAACAGAGCTGTACATCACCAATTCCTAGTCACATGAAGAGATGAAGCATCTGGGCGCCATAATCTTTCTTTTAATCGTACTCTGCCCGTAATTTCCCTTGAACAAAAGAAACGCTTGGCCTCCACGGCCGCTTTAGAAGGATATAATGACTAAAATACCTGGTTTGTTCTGTTCTGTTCTGTTTCAACGCCAGCCTCTTAATTTCCCCAAACAACACTTTTGTCGCAAGCCCTCAAGTAAGACAGAAGTCAAACAAGAAATCCAATCTGCCGATCCTGTTCTTATCACAGACGCCTTCTAAGGCGTCTTGCGTCAGGCTTGTTATCTGGCTGTGGTCCCTCTTAAGGCATATGTAGCCCCAGCCCTATGGGGCTTGACTCTGAGGGAGACTCTGTGTCTGCCTCGCCAGTTCTGATTTGTCGCGAAAGCTCCACAGCTTCTTCATACCGACGTTGCAGTCGATCGTTCTCTGCCTGAATGCGCCGCCGTTCTGCTTCTTCAATGTCTACGGGAATATCGCCAAACGAGATGAGCCGTCCATCTGTAGTTCTGATACCCCCGGACCCGGATCTAGACATTGGTTCGCTGTTGCCAGGGAGAGACCGCGGGCTCAATGTCGGACTTTCCCGTATGAAGCTGGGAACACGACCGACAGGTAGTCGGCGAGGCATATTGCTGCGTCCAAATAGCGCCTCGTCAATGGGCTGCCCAGTCTGCCTATTCCTCCATATGTCGTAAGAAGTCTGGCCCATTTCTATTGGGGAAAGACGCGGTGAGGGCTCCGTCTCTACCATGGACGGCGCTCGCCGATGAGGGAGACTTGACCTGACACTTCCGCTATTGCTGCTCAAAGCTGTGCCTGCTGAGCCAGTCGCTGTCGCATGTCGAGGGTTTGAGCTTGGGTTCCTAGACATTGGCTGCGATGAATACCCATTTGGTGGCGTAGGATCTATATGACTTCCTGGCCGATAGTTGTCTTCATATGTGCTAGATGGAACCTGCCGCGGCGGTAGCCGATATGCCATATTCTCAGCGGGGAAAATGTTCAGACTTGGGCGGCTCAGACATGGATCAGACTGGGAAAGGACATCATTGTCAGACTCATCCTGGTATGTGTACGGTGGCTGGGAGTTTGACTGCCGGTCGAGGGGATGCTGTCGCAGACTACTCTCTTGGTTTGTAACAACAGACAGTCCGGAGGGAAATTGTTGTGAGTAAGCCAGCCCCGGACTGGAGTTCGCTGTTCTCACATCCTCCTGATATGTGTACGGGAGTTCTTCCGACGATCTCGGAACGGACGAGATCGATGAACCGCTAGAGGAAACTTTTCCCGGGCCTGATTTTTCGTGACGCTTCCCCCCACTGACGGATCTGCCCAAGCGGCGCAGGAATTTTTGAAAAGACGGTTTCGAAGCGGATTCTTGAAACTGCGATTGGCGAGACTGTTCGGTCGATTGATGCGCATTTCCAGAACCAGTTAACTTTGGAAATTGATTTTCTTTCAACCTGAGAGCCGTGGAAGGCGTGCGGCTGTTCACGGTCCGTAGGCTGTAGACGGACCGATCATCGTAAGCAGCTTTCCTGTCGATTGTCGCGGCCCGTGAAGGGGGAGAAGCGAAAGTAGGAAATGAGGGGGCCTCTTCCTCGACTGCGGTTCCTGACACGGCCTTGGCGTAACTTGAAGCTCCAAGCATCGAGGTTGGCCTTACAGATGTACCGGCACTGGAGCTTCTGCCTTTGTCGTGTATGTAGCCACCGCCACGAGGTGGTGGTGGCGATCCCTTCTTGATGTAAAGTAGTTCGGCCTCAGCTTCGCTTCTTGCGGAAACTTTGGACCGACTGGGTGATCTGCCGCCTCTGGAAGACTGAGGTGGGGTGATGAGGCCTCTTGCAGACTCCCGACTGATGCTCACACGAGGATCATTTGTCGCTACGGCTGTCTCTCTCCATGCTCCTCCACGATCATGGTAGCGCCTCAGTGACCTTTTCTTCACTGACCGGTGTCTGGCCACAACAGTCCACGCAGGGTCAGCCGTGTCATTGTATGGACCTTCTTCAATGTCGGGCGGGTACGGAGTTATGGTTCGATCCTCGGACTCCTGGTACTCAACCGGAGATGTCTGTTCATCCACGTAAGGTACATAAGGCATGTGGAAGTGAAGCGGGTTGTGGGTTGTCAGCGGCAATTTGTATTCTTGCTCCAATGCAGCCGAGTAGACCCCTGGTGATTGAGGGAGTACTGCGGTACCAGAGGCGTCTGTTGAATGCGACGATAAACTGTTCATTCGCTCGAAAACAGAATTATGGGCGGCTTCTTTTCCGTCGATGATTCGGGTAGATATAGTCCTCTGTAAGTCGTTAAGGTCTGCAGGCACCTTCGCAAGTCGTTCTTCTAAATCTTTTCGAGCAGCGTCAAGATTCACAGGTCCGGTTCTATTTCTGAACGTCAGTACGCTTCATCGAGCTTGTCCTAGAGTTGTAGCGAATGAACAGAAGAGGGTGATGGAAATAAGACAGCAAAGAGACTGGACATTTATTCAGCCATAGGACTTGAGCAGGACATTGGAGCATAACGGGGGCTGCGATGGGACTTTAAGATGTTTTCCCACTTACTGCGAACTGGGTTGTTCTGTAGACCCGTGAATTGGGCGATCAACGATATGGCGGTCAATAAGGTCCTTCAACCTTCTGCCGTGTCGAATATATTGTCTGTAGTCTTCGGGAAGGCCAGTGGCAGGCTCGTCGTTCATCCTGGTATAGGCCTCATCGAACGATGCGCAGAAGACGCGGATGGCCCGCTCTAGCCAGAAATGCAGCTGTCCTTCCTTGGCAAGAAGCTCAATAAAGAAGGCCTGTACAACACTGTGAACACGAAGTGTATCCAAAGGCTCAGGAGTCGTGTCGAGACCGCTCTGCGAGCTCGAGGAAGAGTCGTCATCAGCTTCGTTTCGTTCGATAAGGGCGAAGCTTATCAAAGTAACGAAAGTCTGTGTCAGACTCCTTCTGCCCTTTGTCGTTTCCGTCTTCACGGGTGTTCGCTTGTCCAAAGCTCCCAAGCCAAGAGCCAGTAGTTCAACCGGTATGAATTGACTGAAGAAGGAGAGTATGTAGATCAGATTCAACGCGGCGTGATTACCGCGACTCTGCAACTGATCTCGAATCGCCATGTATGCAGGAAGCTCGCCAACTTTTGGTGAGTCCCGGAAGGTCTTGAGATACTTTGCAAGCGGTTCCCTCGTGGTATTCATGTTCACAGCAGCGGCGTGAATCATCAGAGGGAGGCGACCCATCAGCTGTACCAATTCATGAGCTCGTCTGAGATCATCAGTGTTGTATGGGTGTTTCTTTCCCATTTCTTCGAGCAACAACTCCTGTGCGTCTTGAATGGGTGGTAGAGGCAACTTCATCATGCTGGGGTTGTCAAGAAGATGAGACCCAGGATCACACCGATCAGTTGATGTGTAGATGAGACTGCTGTTTGGCCGGTCGGGTATGTACTTGAGAATCGCTTTGTCGTTGACGCGAATGCCATCAAACACTAGCAGCCAATCGTTTGACTCATTGAACCACCGTTTGACGATATCGACCATGTTGTGTGGATTTAACAAGTCCTTCTTATGTCCTTGAGCAGCCATGCCCTTGATAGCCTGGGTTTTTGCAATGCGCCAGAACCCGTCTTCCATATCTTGTAACGTGGTAGACCTGATCCAGTATGCGCCCCCGGAATACTGGTCCTTGTGATTGAAGTAATACTGTCGAGCAAGATGTGTTTTCCCGACACCAGGAATGCCCTGAATTAAAACCGCAGATGTCCCCTCTGAACGCCTCTTCGGGTCTTTCAACAGTTTGTGAAGATCTGCAAGATAGTCCTCTCGCCCTTTGAAAAACGAGTTGGGTCGGAATCGGTCGGGATGAACAAAGTGAGGACCAAAGTTCAGGACCTGGGTAGCAGAGTCAGAAACAGGAGCGGATCGGGTGCTTGTCGTGTCAACAGGTGACGATTGTTGAGCTGCTGGAACATATCTGTATTCTTGATGCATATGTCAGACTGAAGATTTATGATTGGCTTTTCATTATGGTATGGTTTTCCGGAAAGGGGGAGCATACCTGAAATCATAGTCTCTCGAGGACTGCCATACTCGCGGGTGATCTCGGCTGCCTCGGATTGTGCTCTGACTTTCCTGTCGTCCATTTCAATGTCCCAGCGGGTTCGAATCACTGGCGGAGCCTCTTCTGCCCACGTCCGAATAGCGGTTGAAACGTTTCTGTATCCAGGAGCGCTGCTGCTGTTGAACTTGCACATTCCGGAATGAGGGGCCTCGATGCCGTAGTAAACAACGCCTGGAAGTTGTGGACTGGCCGAACTCGCATCAACCACCGTCACCATCGTTCCTCTGATATCCGTTTTGTGGTTTTCATGGGCCATGTGAATCTTGAAACGCTGGTAAAAGTCGAGAAAGTGGCTATTGATGTTTTGCAGAGTCTCGTTGTCCTTCTTCAAGGTTTTGAGGAGCACCGACTCGCTCTCAAACATTTTCTTAGGCGCAATGGCGTCTGCCATCTTTTGCAAAACGATACCCCATGTTGCCATGTCAGATCCGGTGTGTGGCGTTCCCAGGAAAATGATTCCAAAGGTGGAGACGAAGATAGATCTGGCATCTTCTTGGTTCTTGTCTCTCAAGTCATTGGAATAAATGAGGGCTCGCTTGACAAGAATGCCGCCCAGGCTGTGTGCGACAAAGATGATGGGGTTCTTGTCTGTGCGCTCGCTTTTACGATAGAGGGTGAGGTTTGTGACCAGTGTCTGAGCATGTTGGTAGATGAAGTTGTCGCTTGCACTTGTGCTTTTACCGGTGGTATAGACGTCTGCGTTGTAGCCATAGACCAAGATATTGGCGCGAGTCTTTCCTAGAGACTGCGGTAGTAGATCTGTGGGCCAAAACACACCTTCATTATGTTGAGACGAAGACGAAGAGGAAGTCCATGTACTTTTCGGGTGACCATTGAGACCATGGACCAGGACGATATCGACGGAGGCGTCAGGATGAGTGAAGACAGCGCTGATTTCGTAGCGTGCAACTTGCTTATTGATGGACCCCTATGATGGTCAGTGCCGAGAGCCATATTTGTATTTATTTGAAATACGTCAGCAACAAAAAGAGAGGGAGCGAGCTGACAGCCGAGAGAAGGACTAGAGGAAAGGGAAGGGGGATGAGGAAGAGGAACGGGGTGTAACAAGGATGCTGCCGAGCATAGCGGCGGGCCGTTCCGTAACACAAATGGGGAGAATGAGATGAAAGCTTACCATACTTGCTTGCTCGAGTCCGAGTCAGCAGCAGGGGGGGTTCTCTACCGAATGCTTATTTTCTTCCCACTAATGCGGCTTGTTGTTCTACGATTTGCTGATGCTCATGAGCTTCTTGGACTACCTTATGCGGCTCAACGTAGAGTCAGGGTTGAGGGTGGAGGGGCAGTCTTTATACTAAGGAACTCCTGCCACCTAGTCGTAGAAATCCAAAGCTGAGAGCCAAGATGAGGCGGATGATATTGCGCGTCGAGTTGACCAAGCAGCATCGAGCGCCTCGTTCTCAAGTTCTGGGAAGGCGCAGCGCCATAAGTAGGCTGCGAAAGTTAAACAACAGAGAAGGCGGATGGGCCGTGAACGTCCTGGTGATGGAGCGTAGCACGCCGGGCGGGTTGGTCACACAGGAACCGCGGTTCAGGCCAGTGGAGAAAAGAAGAGAATAACGGAAAGAGAGAGAAGAGATATCACGAGCCACATCAGACGCGGGGAGAACCCAAATGACGATCGAAGACAGGAAAGAAGAGACAAGACCCAATTTGAGGACTCAGGGGGTAATGGTAAGCTTGAACAGATGGAAGTTCCGCTAAAGGGGTGTTTAGTTGGGACAAGTGCGCCGTGATGGATAATGGAACACCTGTTGTGAAGTGCCCCCTGCCAGGAGGAGCTCGGGAGGTCAAATTAACCCCAGAATGCAACAGCGAAGGGGCAGTTTGGGCAGTTTGGGGAAGGATTTGAAGATCCATTGGTGCCCTGGCCCTGCTAGTTGCTACGGATAGTGTACTTGGTCGTCATGTCACGGCACATCATCTGCAGGCGCGAGATGGCCGGGGTCCTCCACTATCGATGCAACGACGCCTCACCCGCCGTCCGACTTTGAAGACACACCCACAAGTTCACAAGTACATGGCACCCACGACACACCCAAGGAACAGAAGGAGAAGGAGATGAAGAAGGAAGAGGACGATGAGAAGAAGGAACGTGGAGGACAATAGCGACGCCGCTAGAGACTTGCCGTTTTGAAACATACAACCGGCGCCACCGATTTCGTCTCTCTTTGATCTCTTGCCCTTTTGCTCTGCTCCTCTCGTTCTGTGTCTCTGACATACCTGTCTCTGTCCATCTCCATCCTTCCCGCAGCCCGCAGCAAAGCGAGAGACATTCGCCCACGTCTGTGCTGTTTCTGTCATGTCGTCCTGAAGCTCTCGTGAGAGTGATGGCTCAGCTTCCGGATTTGCCGCATGGAAATGGTCGCGATCAGCCGGGCGCTAGGTCCAGGCCACGTATAACAACAAGCAACACGAGAAAAATGCGCCCGAAAAGACACTGAAGTGTAATGTGAAGGCGAGGGCGCCGCCACCCTATTGCTTTTGTTTCCATTTCGGTGAAGCCGCAGGCGCAGACGATGAAAAAGAGCGGCTGCGTAAGCAGCAACGACTTGCAACGCCAGTCATGATAAAATGATAGAATGTTGACTCACTAGGCTTCGCTGAAGCTGAACCACTGAGCGGCCCACCAATGAAGAGCGAATGAGGAGACATGGAGTCCTACCTAAGGCGAAGAACTCATTGCCCTCGCTCTATGTCGATGAGCGAATGCGCTGCACACACCAGGCTGGTCTGGTGACTCAAAGAGAAGCGGCAGTATCGAAACAGTCCTCGAGCTCAAGCACCCGCAATATCGTTGAGTTAAGGTACGGCTATTCAGCCTAGCGCAAGCCACTGTTTTGTCTCTCTGTCTCGATCCATCCCGTCACTACCAGATATGCATCATGCAGCGCCGACACGGCCGCTTGTGCTCTTAGTTTCAGTTACTCATACAGCACTGGCCGGGCATCTTGGCATATGCAACTTGAGTTCTGAACACACTCTAAAGCGGGTGAAACTCGAGAGAGGCTGCTTCGTGGGTGTGTTCCTGTGACACAACGCAGCGCCTGCTATTCTCTGACATTTTTTTGACAGCCCAACGACAATGCAACATTGGTTTTTTGTTTCCCAGCTCTCAGCAGGCCTCACACAACTCTTTGCTCCGTCGGATACGACTCTCAAGCAACACGGGTTTGGCCGCATCACCTCTCATGGTTCCCAATGCCATCCGATGATACGGTGAAGAATCGTACAGCTGACCAGCGACAAGTGGATCTCCCTCCGATTATCGCGAGTTCGTGACGCCGTCTTGACTCAGGACGGCGCCTACAAACTCTCAACGGCTGCCATCGGAACTAGCTCGCGACGCCAATACTTGACTACTGCCCTAGCCAAAAGGGACAGCTACGGAAACTGAGACTTTCAGACCGCTCCTCTTGGCTTCATTACAAAATGCAAGCGCCTCGTTCCCGTGTTCCCATTGCAACCATTTGACAAAGCCTCGTGTGATGTTGCTATACAAATAGCCACAGATCAACCAGTACTGCAACCCAGAATACGGCTTGTTTTGCTTCGAGGCAACGACACATAATCCAGATTGGTGGGCATCATGGCAAGTTGAAGTTTTCGGTTTCGACCCCCTCCCCCTCCTTGTGCCCTCATTTGCCTCGGCAATTTCACTTAGATCGACCATTGAGGTTCACAAAGTTTCCTTGCCTCATAGCTAAAATTCCATCTCTCTCATTCGAAACCATTACAAGACGAACACGTTCGTCAAAGGGCTGGTGATCTGACGTTCACATCGGATCAAAGTTCAGCCTCGCTTGGGTCTGCCTAACAGATCACATATCCACGCAGTCTTTCAGACCTTTCGAGGTGACTATTCGCCTTACGAACTTCGCCACGGTGTCACGGTTCTAAATATGACCGTCAACAATGCAACATGTTGTGGTTCTCGATAGCTACCGAGGTATGGGCGTGAACGCCTCCGGTAGATCAAGGTTCGATGCTACGTTGTTCAGGTTGCACAGAGCTTCGTTACGACGATGTCGACGTTTTCTGTAGAATAGCTATGATCACACCTTTCTTTTCCAAAAACAAGACCAGAATACCATTGAGTCACGTTGCAGTCACGACGCCAAAAATCTTCTTCATAGGTGTACAGGTGTGCGAGCTGTGCACGATCCCGACAGTCTGGATAACCCATCAAGGTTTGGGTACAAGCCCGTGCTACTGACGACTCGGAAAGTTGATTGAGGCAACATGACACGAAACTTAGAATTGGCGAGATCGCGAAGGCAGCAGCTGGCATAGAGTAGCATATGCTTTCTCGTTTTATACACGATCTGCCGAGCCACGTCCACAAGTTCAGACCTGAAAGCGCTAGGCAAAGGGGACATATCCTAACGTGAGCGAGAGATGCTTTTCACATGAAATCATGATGTTGCCTGGAACTTGCAGGAAGCCGAACTTCAAGTGAAGCTTAACTTCCACTACTGGTGACACACTCGCTGAACTTCCAATTATACGATGCCTTGAACGAAGTCCATATAATAACGAAAACTTGGGTCATTTCTCTTGCGACTTACCAAACAAAGCACCTACGACCATACTTCTACCATACTCAGTTCACAATATATCAAAACAACAACAACCAAAAGACCAACACACCTGTAATCACACCCGTGCTCACGACCCCTCCCCTCCCAGCAGCACCCGACTTCACCGGCACGGGCGGCGCCCAAAAGTAACCCGCCTCACCCTGCTCCCCAGAACCGTAAATAGCCCACTGCACATCAACATGGTTCTCCCTGTTCGCCCAGCAATGCATCATCCCGCTCGCGCCCGTCTGTCCACTCACATTATAGTCTCGCACAGCGGTGCGGACCACCTCCGCGACGTCCACGCCGCCGACGTACCACCCCGTCTTGATGCTCGGGAGGGCATCCGCGTAGGGCGGGCGGATGCCAAAGTTGCAGGTGCCGTGGGTGCGGATGCCGAGGATGGTGGTGTTGTCGGTGAAGCCGCGGACGTACCAGACGTAGCGCTCTTTTGCTGCCTCGTCGGCGAGGAGGAGGCAGTCTGTCGTGAGGGGAGATGTTGCGCGAGTTATGCCTACGAAGGAGGAGGCGCCGCAGATTTCGTCCTCGTAGCGGCGGTTGCCGCGGAAGTAGAAGGGGCCTGTTGGTGGCGTGGAGGGATCTGTTGTTTGGAGGTTGGAGATGTTGCTGATGCTGTCCGAGGGGGAGGATGGAGATGGGGATGATGGAGGGGGAGGTGGGATGTGGTAGGTTACGTTTGTGCTGTTTTGGTGCTTTAGGAAAGGAGGGATGTAGAATGTCAAGCCTGGTGTGATGTTGGCGAGGGCGAGGAGGATGACGGGAAGGGATGTTAGTCTAGTCATTTTTGTGGTGGAAGCTTACCTGGACTTCGGGACCAAGATGTGATGTTCTGCTTAGGTGGATGAGAGCGGGAGATGATGGACTGTACTCGTTAGTTGGGGGTTGGTGACTTACAAGTTTGACGATGGATGCGTTGATGTCTAGGTGTGTTCGAGCAGATGGTGTATTGTTGTAGAGTGTTTGTGTTTGCTGTCTGATCTGTCGAGAGGAGAATGAGATGGAAACCTCGGACAGGACTGTTGGTTATGTATACCAGTCTTCAGGACAGTTGCGTGGGACGGCCTCAAGCTCGTTGTGAATGGACAAGTGCCAAGAAGAAAGGTTCGTTGTGTAAGTTCAGACAATTTGAATGGGCAGCTGTCGTGTATAAAGAAAGACAAGTCCATTGTAAAGTAGGTACAAACGGAATAGCTTTCAAGCCGAGAACAATGCTTTGCAACGGGGCTTCTTCATCAAAGAACGCCAATGTCGAATCAACTCTTCCTTGTCGTTGTCCAACGTTGATCATGGAATATTGTCACAGATGGCTTCGAGGCTAACTTTCGAATGTCTCAACGCCACAAATAGGGCGCAACGGCGACGTTTCAAATATCAATAGATCACAAGTAAAAGACACATATGCTTGCTTGTCAACGTGTTGATTGCATTGAGCGATTGACCGCGTTGAAGCAGTCAGCTACCTAAAATATGGCCGCAGTTGAGAACGCCACCCCCAACTCCCGCCCCCAGAATTTTTGTTCTACCCTTCCCGGTATTTGTTTTTCCGCTCGAAATATTTGCAACGCCTATGTAAAATGCAGCAGTAGTCTGTGAAGCACATTTTCCCTTTGTTCATGAGCCATGTTAAATGTCATGCGCGGAACCCGGACCCCTTTGACGATTGGGGTCACCCCACGCTTATTCCCTTCTGAACCAGTTTTGTTGAACTGGGCATAATCAAAGCCCAGAGTGGTATATATCGATTCCTCCCTTGATCCACTCCTTTCCCCACGGCATGCTCCCTGGCATACGTGGGCCAATTCTCGCCACACAAGCCGCTGGCATGATTTAGATGCCAGCGTCAACGCGCCAGCCCTCAACAGGGAGGGGGAAGCTGCCGCTCCACTCGGCAACCTCCTTGCGGAGGTCGTTGATCTTGGCAACCTGGCCGCCAGCAACGGTGGCCTTGAAGTCCTTGAGCTTGTTGGCCTCCTTGGGCAGGGAAGCCTGGACCTCCTTGCAGATCTTGATGGACTCATCAATGTAGTTGGCGACGCGCTCAAAGTCGGCCTCTCCAAATCCACGGGAGGTCATGGCGGGGGTGCCGATGCGGAGACCGCAGGGGGTAAGAGCGCTCTTGTCGCCGGGGATGGAGTTCTTGTTGCAGGTGATGTTGATCTGCTCGAGAACGGCCTCGACACGGGCACCGTCCAAGCTGAACTGGCGGAGGTCGAGGAGGACCATGTGGGAGTCGGTGCCGTCGGCGACGAGCTTGTGGCCGAGGGTCTTGAACTTGTTCTCAAGGGCCTTGGCGTTGTCAATGACCTTCTGCTGGTAGGCCTTGAAGTCGGGGCTGGCAGCCTGCTTCAGGGCAACAGCGAGGGCAGTGATGGTGTGGTTGTGGGGGCCACCCTGGTGACCGGGGAAAACGGAGAAGTTGATGGGGTTCTCGAGGTCGTAGAGGGTCTCCTGGCCCTTAGCGTTGACGGAGCGGACGCCCTTGCGGAAGAAGATCATGGCACCGCGGGGGCCACGCAGGGACTTGTGGGTGGTGGTGGTGACGATGTCGGCGTACTCGAAGGGGGAGGGGATGACGCCGGCGGCAATGAGACCGGAGATGTGAGCCATGTCGACAACGAGGTAGGCACCGACGGAGTCGGCGATCTTGCGCATGCGTCCGTAGTCGATCAGACGGCAGTAGGCAGAGGTACCGGCGACGAGGACCTTGGGACGGAAGAGCTGGGCGTTCTTCTCGAGCTGGTCGTAGTCAATGATGCCGGTGTCGAGGTTCACGCGGTAGGGCATGGTCTCAAAGTAGGTAGAGACAGCAGAGATCCTGTTGGGAACGAGAGTCAGTCATGATTCTTCGTTCAAGTGTGGCAAGCGTAGGGTAACGTACTTCTTGGCAGGGGTCTGGTAGCCGTGGGACAAGTGACCACCGTGGGGGAGGTCAAGACCCATGAGGCGGCCGTGGACGGGCATGATGGCCTGGTAGACCTGGAGGTTGGCGGGAGAGCCAGACAAGCACTGGACGTTGACACCCCACTTGGAGGAGTCGAGGTTGAAGGCCTTGAGGGCACGGTTCTGGCAGAGGATCTCGATCTGGTCGATGTGCTCGTTGCCACCGTAGTATCTGGCACCGGGCTGGCCCTCGGAGTACTTGTTGGACATGGGCGATCCAAGAGCATCGAAGACGGCACGGGAGGTGACGTTCTCGGAGGCAATGAGAATGATGGACTCGCGCTGGCGCTTGATCTCATCCTTCATGATCTCGGCAACCTCAGGGTCGGAGTCAATAAGAGACTTCTCCAACATCTATCAATGAGTCAGTATACAGCTCTGTAAAGCATGGCGGGGCAAAGAAAGAGTAGACGTACCTCCTTGTGGGAGACGGGGAGGGAGTAGGAACCAGTAGCAGCCATTGTGATGTGTGGTGTTACGAAGGATCGTAATTGTGAAGTTGAAGAAGAGAAGAGAGAAATTCTCGCAAGCAATGGCAAGAAGAGAAGTAGATGTAGGAAAAGAAGAGGAAGAGAGGGAGGCCAGCAAGGTTATGAAGGGATGGGAAAAAAGCTTGAGAAAATTTGGCAGAACATCGGAGGGAGCAAAATGTGAATCGAATGCTGAAGCGGTGGGGGTTGGCGGGGTGTGATTGGCGGGGTCGAGCTGTAAGTACCTTACTTCGTAGTCGTACGCAGTACGCGGTGGAATTGGAGAAAAAAAACTGTGGCGGCCCCTCGATAGTCGACTGATGGCTTGACAATGGACAGGCATACTACGTAGGTACGAAGTACTAGTATACTTACCTTTCCTCAAGGTACCTGCTATGTAAGGTAGGTATGGCAGGGACAATTCGGAGGCATTTGGTTCGCTAAATTGGGATCGCTCGACAGTTTGCGACCGCAAGCTTGGAGCATTTTGGGCCTTTGGTGGGCTCCCTGTGGTTCCCGGTGTGGCTCACCACTTTGTAAGTGGTTCCCGGTTGGAACGCTAAAACGGCGCTTCCCTGACGTTTCCCTGAACTCACAGCCTGTGGCGGGTTTTGTCGACTCCGATTCTGGAACGGTTCCACGAGTCATCGAGGAAACGGACCCCATTTCACGACGACGGGGATGCGGTTGGACCGTTTAGTGTAGCTGCTCGTACCTCCCCCGCCTCAACCGTCTCACGACTTCCGACTCTAGAGCTTCAGTCAGGAAGGCTTCGGGTGAGCCGGGACAATATTACGAGCGGACCATTTGTGGCAATTGAACTGTGACTCAACAGCATGCGCATAGCTCTTCCCGAAAAGAATGGCAATTCGCACGATTTCTCCCGAGTGATGTGCGTCGTGAGTGAGTTTCCAGCCACCTCGTTCTCGACAAATTGGGGGAAACTGGGGGCATCGCGTCGAGAAAACCACCCGAGAAGGAAGAGCCATTTTTGAAACAGACGGCGATATTCCGTCTCAGCGCTCAGCTATAGCTTCGATCATAGAAAATCTGTGCTAGGGACGATGTAGTGGGCGAGGCAAGTCTGCATTCAAAAGAACCATTCATCGCAACTTTGATGCACTTGGACTACATGAGAACGACCAAAGACCCCAAGATGGAACAGTTGCGATGTCGGCGAAAGGTGAGAGTCAAGACAGTTGCATTTCTCCTAGCTCATTTCAAGCGCACCTGTGATTGGCCAGTGTCTGAACGGCAACTCCAGATAATTCAAGACTTTTCACATCAAACTCTATGCGGCTTTGACGTGAACCAAGATATTCCAGCTTAAAGTTGAAGCAGTTACAAAGTGTGAGCTGGGCCAACACTGAGGCAATTGCGACTACCTGCGTGCAGTTTAGTCCACCTCCAAAGCGCATTTGGCGCGAGAGAACCTGGAAGGCCTCGATACCTTAGCTCAACAACATGGGTCACGCTCTCCTCCAGGAACTGCTGACTCATCTGGACCGCATCCACATTGGCCCCGAGCTCCGAGACAGCCTAGCGGAGGATCTATGCAATGGCCTCAGGTACCAAGGCGTCCGTCCAGATGCAGGCAGCTGGGCTTTCAGGCACGCGGCACGCTTCGGATGTTGGAGCAATAAGGTAAGCAAGCCAAGCTTGGCCCACGGATACCCGAGTAACAGAGAGAGTCAGGGAATCGGTTACCGAAGGCGAGCTGAGCTATCTTCCTTATCTCATCAATCCACCTCGTTGCGTGATGTCAAGGTCCCCGTCGCAATGTTAGCCCGTTGCTTACCTTGCACTCCGGCGCGTTCAGCAATGCTGCAGCGCATCTCTCTCCAGCGCAGGATCAACTGAGCGGCATCGAGGTGTAGAAGGCTGCAGGGACACGCGATCGGACACGCAAGCCCCGTAGTGGCAGCCGCATCACCCTGCGAGTGTGAGAGACGGAGACGGGAGCAGTGTGAGTGTCAGTGTCACCGAGTGTGTGAGAGCTGCCAGGAGCTCTGTCTCGGGCTTCTAACTCGCTGCGTGCCTTGGGCGAGTTGGGGCAGCTCCGCGCCGTCTTAGGTTCCATGGTTGCTCCCCCAGCCAGCTAAAGTGGGTCAACACAGCCAACCCCAGCTTTTGATAGGCAGATAAGATACCTGCACCTATCGGGTGCTGCGTCATGGTCCTTCGTGCCTTGCGGAGGCGAGTGGGCAGGTTGTCACGGGGGCGCAGTTGCTAAGGTAAGTCTGGTCTGGGTAGCCTGCCACACCTGCCTGCCACAGCAAAGGTACTTACCTACTTAATAGGTACAGGCGCCGCCCCAGCTTCCGCATCTTCCCCCCGTCAACACATCATCATCCCCCCCATCCGTTTCAACCGCCATCTCCTCAGTATCACCAGCACGAAGACGCAGGGCGCCAAACACCATCGTAATCTGGGTAATCGAGGTTGACAGCCACGATGAAGAGCACTCTCCTCACCGCGGCCGTGCTGTTGGGCGCGGCCCAGGCCGAAGTCCACAAGCTGAAGCTGAAGAAGGTCCCCATCGAGGAGCAGCTTGTATGTTCGGCCCATCATCCTGTGTACCCGCAACAATGTTTACTGACTGCTGCCATCCTCAGAACTCTGTTCCCATCGAGCACCAAGTCAGACAGCTCGGCCAGAAGTACATGGGCGCCCGCCCTGACAGCCATGCCGATGCCATGTTCAACCAGAAGCCCTTCACAAGCACTGGCGAGCACCCCGTGCCTGTGAGCAACTTCATGAACGCTCAGTGTATGTCTCATTCACCTCGTTGTTAGTTACCATCAGTCAACTAACGTTCGCACTTCAGACTTCTCCGAGATCGAGATCGGTACCCCTCCCCAGACCTTCAAGGTTGTTCTGGACACTGGTAGCTCCAACCTGTGGGTTCCTTCCCAGCAGTGCGGCAGCATTGCATGCTACCTGCACTCCAAGTATGACTCTTCGTCGTCGTCCACCTACAAGTCCAACGGCTCCGAGTTCGAGATCCACTACGGCTCTGGCAGCTTGACTGGTTTCGTCTCCCAGGATGACGTCTCCATTGGCGATCTTAAGATCAAGAAGCAGGACTTTGCCGAGGCCACCAGCGAGCCTGGCCTTGCCTTTGCCTTCGGCCGCTTCGACGGCATTCTCGGTCTTGGTTACGACACCATTTCCGTCAACAAGATTGTCCCCCCCTTCTACAACCTTGTTAACCAGAAGGCTATTGACGAGCCTGTCTTTGCCTTCTACCTCGGCGACACCAACGAGGAGGGCGATGAGAGCGAGGCTACCTTTGGTGGCCTCGATGACTCTCACTACGAGGGCAAGATCACTTACATCCCCCTCCGCCGCAAGGCTTACTGGGAGGTCGACCTCGATGCCATTACCCTTGGCGACGAGACCGCTGACCTTGAGGGACACGGGGCCATCCTTGACACCGGTACTTCTCTGAACGTCCTCCCCTCTGCTCTTGCTGAGCTGCTCAACAAGGAGATCGGTGCCAAGAAGGGCTACAACGGCCAGTACTCTGTTGAGTGCTCCAAGCGTGACGAGCTTCCCGACATCACCTTCACTCTCTCTGGCTACAACTTTAGCATTTCCGCTTACGACTATGTCCTGGAGGTCTCTGGCAGCTGCATCTCTACCTTCCAGGGCATGGACTTCCCCGAGCCGGTCGGCCCCCTTGTCATCTTGGGAGATGCCTTCCTGCGCCGGTGGTACTCTGTTTACGACCTCGGCAAGAACGCCGTTGGTCTGGCCAAGGCTAAGAAATAAACGCCTACTCATAACCCCATTTCCTTGAGAATACGTCGATTACTCGGTCAATCAGATCCAGGGTGCGGCTGTAATGTAACTACGATAGGTAGCTAGTCTGGACACCATTGTGAGAATACCAATAGTAGCATTCGTCTTTGAGCATCTGTGTCATTGTGCATTATCTACGTGAAATCAGGCTCACCTTTCAGGAGCTCGAACAGCGCTGCAGAGGTTCATAGAATCACAATTCCCGCACTGCAGCGATGTTGCGGACATCTCATAGGCCATGTATTGAACAAAATCAATAATACTGTTTGTAATATTAGAAGGAAGCTTCAACAAGCTACCCTCTGTGCATCAACTCTGAAATGAGAGCGTTCCTACCAACCGTAAAGGTACTTTAACTGAACATCAAGTCACCAAGGTGTGAGCGTAACGTGGAGCCCACTCTTCTCTCTGCACGGGCCAGATCATCACGTGGGTAACGGGTCCGCTTATTCAGATCGGCAGGCCAATCGCTGCTTACTTCAGCTCAGTGCCTTTTCGCCAGCAACCAACAAGGACCCGTGGTTCTGTCCAATTTTCCAGTATAGCCTCCCGACAGTCACGCAGGGGAATTGCTCCAGGAGCATTTGCAAGGCGAGAAAAATCCAAAAACGGCGACTTTGATGGACCCCATTCATTTTCCGAGTACCGTTGCTTGTCTTTGAGTGTGTTCTTGGATGAAAAGGTTCCCCAACACGCCTGGCCTCGCGACGCTTGACGAAAAAAGGTTTTGGAGTTCCACCAAGACGAGCGACCGACGAACCTCGCGCGTCGCGACAATCCCGCCCTCCACTAGGCTACCTACCACCCCCGTCGTCCCGCGCGACATCGACAGAACGAACCGCCCGAAACGCTCTGGCATCGCGATAATTTCCATCGATAGCCACAACCACAATTCACGACGACGATTTTCACAATGGCACAGCCGGATTCGGTCCAGGCAAACGGCATCCCTGGACCGGACCATGCTGAGTCCCCCCAGCCCGTCGTCCCTGTGAAGAGGAAGCGCGATACCGAGGATGAGGGCGACGAGGTCAATGGCGATGGACCGGAGAAGATGGAAGTCGATGCTGAAGCCCCAAAGGAGGATCATAAACCCCTCATCAAGAACTATTTTGCTGTTCTTAGCAGGTACGACTGCCGCGCCCCCCTTTGCGCCCTTGGCTGCGCGCCCATTCCCCCTTCGTCAGCCCCGAGGCCGCATTGTACTGACACGCAGTCCAAAGCTTCGATGCAAACCCGTCAATTCTGAAGCGTCGCCTTCCCGAAACCGATGCAGAGCAGCCCGACGCAAAACGCCAAAAGTCCGCCGATAGCCCAGCCACCATCGCCGACAAGGTCAACCACGACTCGTACTCGCATGTCGACGAACTCGCGGCCGATGTCGTCGAAGCCGTCAAAGATCAACTTCAGGAACTTCAATCGGACAAGGTTGAGAAGGACAAGGACGTCATTGATGGCGGCGCTGTGGTGCAGACCAAGGAGTTTCAGCAAAAGGCCATGGACCTCCTTCGAAGGGAGATATCGTACCCACGCACCGCTGTGAACGTCAGCAACATCAAACCGGCCCCGGAACTCACTCCAGGCAACGCTGTCTTAACGGTCGTTGGCCCTGGCCCTCATGGCAAGCAACTGTTCTCAAGTCTGCCCAAGAAGGCCCCGGGACAGGAGAGCTTGGCTGCAAAGGCATCGTCTATGGAACTTCCCTTAGGCATATCGAAAACCTACATTGTTCCTTCTCGCCAGAGCGAAAGATCAGCTACTCTCGGAGAGCTCTTCTCCTCGAGCAGACCTCTCCCTCCACTGCAGCCGCCTAAGCAACCCAAGCAGCTGGTCAAGGGAAACGTCCTTGGTTTCTACCATCCAGAGCCGGCGCAAAAGTCCAAGTATTACAACGAATCTTACTCTAGCAAAAAGGTCGCAGTCGGTTGCTACTTGGACTACACCAACGCGGCACCTTCGTCTAAGAGCAAGACCAGACAGCGCGAACGCGCTCAAAGTCTTGCAGGTCACCGACCCTCATCTACCGAAATTGAGGTTAACGAAATGGAGTCCTTGTTTCGCAGCGCATTCTCCAGCTTTGCGCCCGTCAGAGACGATTCCGGCTCCGTCATTCCGTCCAGCCATGCTGGTCGCATGTACTGGCAGCTTACTGGACAGCGCAACTTCAATCGCCTCATCGAATCCGAGTTGCAGGAAGTCGATGATGATGACACGCTTGAGAACCACGTTGGTGAGAAGGCCGAGACTGAGAACGTGGACGAGGAGTTCGTCACTGAGGCGATTGAGAAGTGGGATGAATGGCTGGTGGATCCGGCGCTGGAAGACATGAACGAGGTCCTGTCGAAACCCAAGGATAAGGACCCCGCCGACAAGGAGGTTGACGAATTCCTCGATGAAGTCACCGACATGATTGAGACCTTGCTGTCGTATCAGCGCATCCGCAACCTCACATTGCCATCATCACAGAATCGTTACGCAGGCGATCCCGTCAATGGCGACTTGCTTTCTCACGGTGCTGTCTCGGCACCAACGGAAGAGGAGACGATGACGTACGAAGCACTGAGGGCTCAACTGAGTCTGATTGTCGGCACTCTCCCTCCCTACGCGGTGGCTAAACTCAATGGTGACCAACTTGAGGAGCTTCTCATCAGCACCAAGCTCGAGGTCCGCACAGATCAGTACAAGGGTGTGATGGAGGACGATGCTGCAACGCAAGCCCGGATGCGTCAACAGCAAAGCGCCGCCGCTTCTGCTCCGTCGAACCGGCCTGCCCCTCACCGAACCCCTAGTGCATCCACCCCCTACAGCAACCAGTACGCGGCGGCGCAATACGGAACCCCCACCCGAACACCCTCAATCGCGCCCTCCAGCTATTACCGGTCGGGACAGCAGCCTGCCATGCCCCCGCAACAAGGCTCCGTTCCTCGTCCGGGCGGTGCCCCCCACCAGATGCCTCATGCGCAGCAGCCCCGTCCCGGTCAGCCGGGCAATTACCGGAACACCAATGGATACACCAACTATGCGCAGCACGTCGGAAAGGCACAAACACCGTATGGTCACCAGGGTGTTCAGTATGGATCTCAACAACGACCTCCACAATACTCTGGTTACGCAGGCACGCCTTCACACGGCACGCCCAATGCTCGCTTCCAGCAGCCCTACCAACAATCTTTCCCACAACAGCCAAGCACGCCTTCTCAGGGCTACGCAGGCTACTACGCCAATGGTGCTAACAACATGCAATCGCGGAACATGTCGCCCCAAGTACAGGCTGGTCAATACAATTCGCCAACTCCACACCAGCAGCAGCAACGGTACTACGGATCAACTCCCCACCAGAACGTGCCTGGCACCCCTCCGATCAACCGTCAGCATTATCCGAATGGTAGCCACCTCCCTCAACAACCTATGAATTCTCTAACTGGATACAATACAGCCGTTGCAAGGACAGACCAGCAGCGCCTCCACGCCGAGCAAGCGAGATATAGAGCCGCTGCACAGCAAACGAGCGCAGCTTTCGGGACCAAGATACAGGGAACACATGAAGGAAACAACATGACTCCAGTACCCGCCGACGACCAGAACGGTCAAGGATCTCCCTACAATGCCAACATGCGAGCGCGCATGGCCGCAGGTGGTACCCCGAAGCCGCAGAGCCCTGTCGGTAGTGTAGGAAAGCCGAATGGAACTCCACCAATCCCGCACAAAGTGACACCGGTGCCCATTCCGGTCATACCTCAACAGCAGCCGTACAGGAAGCCAAACTAGCCATATGACAATCCTTACCTACCGCCACAGGAATTGTATCCGCGGAGGCCTATTCCAGTGTCCAGCGGACTTTTGGCAGAGGTCGCAGCACGGAACGGTGGTCAGAAGACGACGCAATCTGCCAAGCCTCCGCCTCAACCTGTGCAACTGTCACCGCGGCCCGGCTCGGCAAAAAAATGATGCCTACGATCTGCGGCTCAGTCGGCCGTGGTGTACATTGCGTCAACAAAATGCCGATTTCCATTTACTCTACGGTGTCTGAATAGCCAGGGAAGCGATGTCCTTTCGGAGTTGGTGTGAGAGACAGGGACTTTTTTTTTTCTACAAATCTCGCCTGCGACTCGGGACAGCGGGTTCCGCTGTACTGAGCGACGCAAAAGTGGTGGTCTGATTGATGATGGATGGATGGGTACATGAGGAAGCAGTTGCATGAGAGAAACCTCTCGATTCGACCAACAACCCTGTGACTCTTGGCGTTCTGGCCCTTGTGTTATTAGAAAGTTTTCGGAGGAGAGTTGACAAAACTCGGTAGATGATCGCCAGGAAGGGCGACTGTTCTTTTTCTCAGTTTTACGGAGGGTGTGTCGACATGGAAGTGGTTTGTGCCACATTGGCACAACAGGAAGGAAGGTTTTTGCTTCTTCTTTTCTTCTGTTTTCCATGAAATCAAACGCACAACGTGGGGAAGGGGAAACGGAATCATAGTATCACCTTGGCTCGCGGAACGGTGGAAAGGGGATAAGGGGGGTTGGCTCCATGTGTATAGAGTGATTCGAGTAGCCGACACTTTGTATCCTAATCAAAAACTAGTGGCATTTGCGTCAAAGTTGTGTGTCTTTCTTTGTGTATGTGTGTGACAGAGAAAGCTGTCTCATTCGAAAGATTGAGTGTGCTGCTGGATACTCAGTATGGCTCTGAATCCATCTGAACTACTTTCCGACCGGCCGGCAACAACAGCGAGGGGTTGGGCCTAAGACGGGTCAATCGCGGGACTAAGTTCCTCATAGCAAAGTTTAGGCCTCATTCAAGCTTATAACTTGGACAAGCTTTATACAAATGTTCTATTATCAAATCAACTTGGTTCACTTCACTATCCCATTTAGTGTGATCAGTGTTTGGTGTTGGAGAAATCAGGGAACACGTATGTCCCTTCCAAACGCCGAACAGTTACAGCCTTGCTACAATCAGAACTAAAGTATCGT